TATATTTTATGAAAAAAAAAAACTAAATTCAATTTATTAAAATATTATAATTTAATTGACATAATTTTATTAAAAGTTTACTTATTCATAAGATTATATTACTTCCAATAATATTTTATTCATTAATAAATATTTAAATTATAAATTATTATAGTTATCGGTATATATATATTGTACGTATATTTTATACAAGATTTAAAAAAAAAAAAGATTATACAAGAATATTAAGTAGCTTGGAGTTAAATTAATTTAAATGATCCACTACTCGCCCACCTGAACTCATATCCACTCCAAACCCAATGCATGTATTAAAATCACAATCCAAACCCACCTCAAATCCGTTTCTATATTACCTAAACCCGCCAAAATCTGGTAGGTTAAATTATCATCCCATGTGTCAACTACCAAAGGAGGTCTCTAAGTGGGGTCTGTTTAGAGTCACGCGTCGGTGACTGACAGGACCTTGGGAATTTGCCTTTCTTAATTAATTATATATATACTATAATTAATCATTTAAAATAATTATGTGACTACATTCTATTTTATAATTTTATATTTCATGTTAATTTAAATACTCAATCATTTTTTAGTAAGAACGTTACTATTCATTAGGATGGATTAAATTTTCTTTTATCGTCTTTCTACATGATTTGAACGTCCAAAAGGATTTTGAAAATTTAATTTTCTTTCTATAAATTCTTTGAAAAATCTCTAGTCATAATAATTATAACGTTTAATATGTGAACTTTAATATGTTATCTCTCATTTAATATAGTTAAATAAAATAATTTCGTCAATCTAATCAAGTTGATGTAATTATTTGTTCTCCAAAAAAAAAAAAAAAAAACCATTAGAGATTTTATCTAAAGGTTATAAATTAGAATAGTTATTTATATAAATGAGAGAACCTAAATATATATGCTATATAACAAGTGAATTAAATGACTGGTAGCCAAAATAAATAAACGAATGTGAAATATAAGTTTTTGAATTAAAATTCTTATTTAGAATTTTCTTGTTTATTTTAAAGGTTTATAAAATACTATAAAATACAAAATGCGAGGACAAAAGCTGGAAGCATGTGGCTAAAAAAGGCAGTCCTTTTAAAGGACAATAAAGAACTGTGAGTAGTGTTAGATAACTAGTATCATCCACCTGCATTCATGCATTCACGGCTAAATGTTATCATGCATTATTTTGTTGAATTGCCATATCGTGCTGCACTATTTGTATTGCTTGATTCGCTGTGATGTGATATTGCTGTGCTTTGCTTGTGTGGAATTGGGATGATGCCTTGTTTGTGTGGAATTGGGATGAGTGGCGCACCATTGGGTTTTTGATTGAGGACGGTTCTATGTGATATGGATTCCGAATATGATAGTGATATGAAATGGTGTACGTCGCGTGGGAAATGGGAGATCGGCGCCCCGTGTGCACCTGATGATATGGATTATATAGAACCACAGGATGGCTTTGTTGTTGCGCACCTGATAAATCTAGATTTGATTGTAGCCGCGCAGGGTGGCCTCCTGTTGTGAGCACTTGATGTGATTAGAAATTGGATGGAAGACCAGAACGCGATGTTGCCTCTGTTTGGTTGGAAAAGAAAAGAGAGACAATGGAAACAATGAGAGGACTGTCAGTGGAGGATAGGACAGTTGGCCGTATGGGGGATCCGGCTGCCCTGGTAGCAATGTATGCAGAAAGGGCGGCCCTATGTGATGGAGGACGGCTCGTTGGGGGTTCAGTTGGTGGGACTGATCACATTTCCACGTGATGTGATTAATAGAAGGGGATGAATATTGTGATTGCTGTTTGTATTGCCATTTGTGTGGACAAACTTGGCAATGATATATAATTTAAACGGTAATAGAATAAAAATATTTGCATTGTGTGATTGTGTGGGGGTGAGGAGGGGTATCTAACCTACTCATTGAGTTTTTTGGTCGCTCACCTGCGTATATTTTTTTCCAGGTAATAAAAAGAAGTAAAAGCCTTGTGGAAGTTTGAGACACTTAATTGTAAGACTGTTAATGATTAGAATAACGATGTAATAAAAGTAAGAGTTTCGCATTGTATTCAGTGATTTGTAATTAAATTTAATGAAAGTATTTTAAATATATGACTGTATTTTGGACTGCATATGCATATAAGTTAATTGGGACCGGAATCAGCATAAATATGTTGTAGAATGTGAATTGGATAAGTTGGGCTTACTACGGGCTTCGGGGGCTTAAGCCCGCCGGTCTAGTGGGTCGGCAGAAATAGAGGAATTCTGGGAAATTAAATCTCGATATTTAAATTATAATATATATGACTTAACACTTTATCTTTCTATCTAACTCTTTTAATTTGGTTTTGTTTTGAATTATATTTATTCTTATTTTTTTTTCTATAAGAAAAATTTATTTTATTTTTCCTACCGAATATGTTCGGCAGCATATCCTAAAAATTGGACTATCTAACCTGTTAAAATGTCAACAATATATCTTAATATTTCCAAATCAAACAGCCATCATCGGCAACAATCATCAAATTTTCATCTCGCATCAATCTAACATAAACTCACACAATCAAATCATATATTAAAATAGACATTAATATTTAAATTTTATCTTTATTAATCAACACTAAAATTATAAAACTATAATAGCTGCAATTAAACCAAATAAATTAATCAGTTAATTCACTACAAAATATAATTTAATTTAATAGCTAACATTAATTTAACTAACTTGACTAAATCATTAATTACAATAATAAATTAAATTTCATTAACTATATTACTAACTATTAACTACATTTAATAAATTAATTTTAATTAGTATTATTATTAAACTTACTATCAACTATCAGTATAAATTATAAAAACTACTAAATTTAATTAACTCTTCATCATTAGTTATTAATTAATTTAACTAAAATATACTTTAATTTATATTGTCTAAAATCTAAATTAATTATCTAATTTTAATTATACTAAAAAAAAAAATGGATGCTGGAATTACTTGTCGGAGATTTGGAGGTACACGTGCCGGATGAAGAGCAAGGTGGAGGCTGATGGCGGAGGTGCCTGTTAGCAGCGGCGTGTGTGCAGTGGCAATGGCGTGAGAGCTGGTGAGGCCGCTGCACGATCGAGGGCAAGAAGGAGCTGGCGTGCATGCACTGGCAGCGAGTGGAGCTGCTGGCAGTGGGCGCGGAGGAAGTTAAGTCGAGGCGACGGAGGTGGGATGGCGAAGCTGCCGCGTGGAGTGGCGGGAGGCTGGGTGGCGCGCAGCGAACTGCCTGTCTCTCGCTAGTCACAGCGAAGACAGACGCTAGGGAAGAAGGAGGAAAGGTAAGAAAGAAAAGAAAGAAAAGAAGAAGAAGAAGAAAAAGAAAGAGAGAGAAGAGGGAGAGGGTGTGGTTGGGAGGCTGTGGGTCGGTGACTGACTGGGAAGTGGTTGTGAGAGGTGAGGGGGTGGCGTTGAATATAGAGAGGAGAAGAGCTTTCTAGAGATGGTTTTGGGTGCGAACCGTTCGATTGGTCCGCTTCGGCCCAAATCTTTTGGTTTTCAAATGGTTTTTTGACTTTTCTCAAATTCGGGTTTTCGTTTGGTTTTTCACAAAGTGATTCGCAGCTTAAATATTATATTGATTTCAGGCTGTCGATTATTCGCACTAAAATATTAATATTGATTTTCAGGCTGTCGGTACATTAAATTTAATTGGAAAAGTTTTTGAAAATATAATTTCGGTTCGTTTCACTTATAAAAATACATTTATTAAAATTATTTTATGAAATGTTTCAACTTGCAAAATTAGTTTTATTAAATATTTATTGAATAGTTAAAAATGTGAAAATTATTATTTTGAAAGTTATATTATTACATGTCAAATCAATATTTTACATATAAAAAATTAAAAACTTTAATTATTGTGTTGCTAATATGGAGACGTGGCTTGTTACTTTTAAAAATAAAATTAAGTCTCTAAGAATTTAGTGTGTACAAAATTCTTGTAAAAATTACAATGATGAATTTATATATTTAATTAAAAGAAAACTATTTACTTTAAAAAGCGTTACATTATAAAAAAGAATACATGAGTTATTAGGATTGGTAATTTTAAAAATAATTTAATTTAGTTTTAAATTCAAAAGCCTCACTTTTTTTACTCACATATTTTTTTATTTTTTTTTTGTAAAATTTTAGTCCTAACATTTTCCTTGCACTCAAATCAAAGGTAGGTTGGGCTTTATGGTTTCATAATTTGTTCTCTTGACTTTGTGAATCCGAAATTCAAACACATCTTGTCCAGCCATTGAACATTTCAACTGGGCTTATCTAACCAGGCCTTGTCCAAATATTGTGCCCCATAGTTATGTTTTAATGGAGGAAGATTTTCTTTTTCTTTTTCTTTTTTTTTCTTTTTTGTTTTTAAAATTCTGCTCCCTTTTAATTAAGTTGATGAATTTAAGACACTAAAATAATAATAATTTTACAAATCACAAATGATTTTTAACTTAGTTTATAATAAAATTTATTTGGTGTGCGATATTTGAATTTATTATAAAATACTATATATATTTACAATTAGATTATATTTTGGTGTCACAACGGATCTTTCTGAATTATTCTAACACTAAAACTTGAGGCCCCTAAAATTGGTAGTAAACCTAATATCATTCATAAGCCAATACACATTAGTTCATTATGAAAAATCAACACAATCTTCCATTTCTCTAGTTCACTTAAAATCTTCCATTTTAAACTCCAGTTCTTAACTTAATTCCATTTCATTAATCATAATTACTCATTTATCTATGGATATAAGCCACCTCAATCTCGTAAAGATAAGAAGATAAGTTGGAATTTCAGAAAGCATACTTCCTGAGACGTTGCACCGTTACAAGGGGAATTATACCTCCTCATTCTTTTAAAAAACAAATTCTTGGCCCGAACGGCCCAAAAAAGCCCACTCCAGGTCCAAATTTAGGTCCATCTCTTCTACCTACAAGTCTGAGAAGATCTTCTGTAGAAGAAATAAAATCTTAACTTTTTTTTTTTTTAAGCGCGGAAATAAGTTCTCTTCTCCCTACGAAGCTTCGGACTCGATTATGTTTCCTTGATCTCTCGACTGCAAAGGCAAAGACTCGAAGAAGGTGAGAGTTTGATAGTTTCATGCTGTTGAATTTTATTGTATTTTTGTAGCTGATCTTCCTCTGTGCTGTTCAATCTTGTGATGGTTTTGGGTTTTTATTTGTATATATGTTTTACTCATTACTTTATTGTATGATCATGATGGAAATTGATAATTCATGGACTTGATAATTCTTTGGGGTTTTTTTTTTTCCCTTTCATCCAGTTCTTTCACTTGCTGCTTTTTTTTTTTTTTTTTTTTTTTTTTTTTTTTTTTTTTTTATTTGTACTGATAATTTTATACTTCTTTCATGTATTGGCACTTCAACTATCTAATAAAAAAAAAAAAAGCTAAAATAGGATATAATCAATTTAGAGTATGTAATGACTGATGTTTGTTTTTTGTTTAAAGTTTTATTTTTTTATAATCTATGCTCACTCAGGAGTTTTTTTGCTATATATTTTATAATGCTGCTGAATATCGTCGTTTTAATTTGTTTTTTGCTGCTGTAGAGAATTTCTGTTTGGTTTTTTTTTTTTTTTTTAATTTTTTTTTTATTTTTTTTTTTTTTTTTATTTTTTTTTTTTTTCTATTGGATGTATTTGTTTTTGTTTCAATATTCGACTTTTAAAGTGTGGGTGCAACTTTAAAAGTTGAGGGATGAATTTATGTATTGGGTCAAATAAAATCAAATCAAATTTTAACATATACAATTTTGCTATTGTCTTCTAGCTATTCTCTGCTTGATTCATAAACCAAAGATGGCCATGGGTATGGTGAAGGAGACCGGCTTGGAACCTGCCAAGCTTTTGGGCCCTGAATCTGCTTCTGAAAGGACACTGTAGCCACCTCCTTATCTCTCCACTTCTCAATGTTTTATTTTTAGTCTTCTATGTATAGATGTATTTTTGTTGAATTTTTAGGGGGTTTGCTTGGGTGGTGATTTGAAACCCTAGCATTGCATTTATTTATGTCAATTTGGTGCAGGTATCCATATGTAACGGGCACATCTGTTGTAGCTTTGAAGTATAAAGACGGCATTTTGATGGCTTCGGATATGGGGGGTTAGTTGCTTTGCTTTACTTTTTATAGTTGCTGGTTTGTGGGCAAATGTTTTTTTTTTTTTTTTTTTTTTTTTTTTTTTTTAATTTTTTTTTAAATTTTTACTTTTTTTTGATTTTCTAACTCTCAATTTATTTTTTTTCTGTTTGGTTCGGGTCAGAGAAAAGTAGTAATGGATAAATGAGTTAGTGTTGAGTCGTTTGGAATTATTAGCGTCAGTTAGTCACACTTGGTGGGCAAATGTTTTTTTTTTTTTTTTTTATTTTTTTTTATTTTACTTTTTTTGATTTTCTAGACTATCATTTAATTTATTTTCTGTTTGGTTTCGGGTACAAGAAAAGTAGTAGAATGGATAAACTGAGTTAGTGTTGAGTCTTTGGAATTATAACGCGTCAGTTAGTCACCACTTGTATTTTTCTTGTGAGTTTAGATGTTTAATTAAAATAATGGTGATCAATTGCTATGTTATGAGATAATTATATTGAAGTATCCTGGTCATCTTCTAAGTTTCATATGGAGATAATTTATCCTCTTCATATTTAAGCATGTATGATGTTGCTGATGTTGTTGTTTGAATTACTTTCTTGCTTAATCGGTTTAGTTGTATCCATTCACTCTCACTATCTTCCATTCGTTAGGCTGTAAACCTGAAATCGCAAATGTACAACACTACATTTAGCAAGCAATTTTTCCTCTAAGATCATAGATAGATCACTTTGCATGAGGTTTACATTATGCTGAGCTCAAAACTTTACTTGAGATATCATTTTGTGTAATCGGAGTTAAGGAGGTATAGTGGTGGGATTGTTGTTCTGGTGCATGTATTGATTGCATAATTGTGTGATATATTATAAAATAGAATGAAAGAGCCATCTCTGGAATCAGAATAATGTCTATACTTATCGACCATTGCAGAAGATGCTAGATTTCTTCATTTTTCTTATTCATGTTGAAGCAAGTTTGTGCTCTGCATGAATCATGAAGCCCTGTTAACTTTTTTCTCTTCTTTCCATCAGTCCTGCAATTAATTTCAACGTTAAATATGTTGCTTATGCTCTTGGCACTGTTCTTTTGCATAGTTGGGCTTACTTTTAATTTTATAATTTATCTGAATATCATTGTCTTATATGCTTCCTGTTTTCTTTTTAATTTCATACCTTCCCTATTTCAGTATCCCAGATAGTGTGAGTTGTACTTGTACTTGATCAAACAATTGCTGCTGATTTCTTTCATGCTTATTTTGAACTTGAGAGCTGTTTCCATTATGTTGTATAGGCTGAATGATGACAAAAATTTCTGTCTTGTTATTAAAATGCCAGCATCTTATGGATCCACCTTGCGGTATAAGAGTGTTGAGCGAATCAAGCCTATTGCGAAGCATTCTCTTCTTGGTGCTAGTGGAGAAATTAGTGATTTTCAGGAGATTCTACGTTACCTTGATGAGCTGATGTAAGTTTAGGTTTCTATAGAGATCGGGAAAAAAAAAAAAAGAAAAATTAAATTTTTAGTTAAATTCTTATTCTCACGGTATTTTTGAGAGACAGTAAAGGGCTAAGAGATTATTTTCTATTTGTTTGGCTTGAAATTTACAATAAACTTTTGGCTATAATGTTTAATATATGCAGCCTCTATGACAACATGTGGGATGATGGAAACTCTTTGGGTCCAAAAGAGGTCCACAACTATTTGACTAGGGTGATGTATAATAGGCGCAACAAGTTTAATCCACTGTGGAATTCACTGGTTCTTGGTGGAGTTAAAAATGGACAAAAGTATCTTGGCATGGTGGGCCTTAGTTACATTGCATGCATTGATGCTTAGCTATAACTGTATTCTTTTGCTATTTTTAACCCACAGTAGCACGGGCAAAACAAGCTGTTGTATTTAATAATGAATTTTTTGTGTTCCTATGCGTTTTTTCAGGTCAGTATGATAGGAGTGAATTTTGAGGACAATCATGTAGCTACTGGATTTGGAAACCACCTTGCACGGCCAATACTCCGTGATGAGTGGCGCGAGGACCTGAGCTTTGAAGATGGTGTTAAATTGTTGGAGAAATGCATGAGAGTCCTCCTATATCGCGATAGATCTGCTGTGAACAAGCTTCAGGTTTGGTTTTCTTTTCTAATTCAGCCGCATGATCATTGAAATTTTCTCTAATTATATGCTGCAAAGTGAATAAGTTTTGCTGTAGTTTTTGCTATGTAGTTTGTTGTTGACATGGTGAAGGGGATTAATCCATATCTGATTCAGTATGGCTTATGTTAAGGCTCTTTTGGGTTGAGTTGAAAGTCCAGAAAGTTTATTGGCAAAACTGAATTGCTGTATACATTGAATCTAGAGGACTTTGTACATAGCTCAGTGATGGGATGGATTGATGAAACAAACAAAACTGACTTAGGAGAAAGAGGTTAGTGCTCATATTATCTAAAAACTGCATGGCAGGCCTTCTGATGTAATCTACAGAATTGAACTGCTAGTGCTAATTTCTGATACTATCGAGTAGGGGAGTCTTAGCCAATTAGATGTTGTACCAGTTGATGAATTGAATTTCCTGTGTCAATTCATACTGCCAATGATGCAGATACCTCTGAACAAATAGTGGAAGCTGCAATCATTGCCTTTTGGTATTTCCTTGACTTTGGGGCAGTGTTTGTGTTCCATGTCTGTCATTTCCTTATAGAGTAGAACTACTGGTTCCATAGGCATTTTGTCTCGATGAATCCTCTATTCTTATTAGCTTATTTCAACAAATGCTATAACACTTTTCTATGCTATATTGTTATATGATACCTCCTCCAAGATGATAAATCAGATGAGAAAGTAGGAGAGGAGATGCCAGTGAGCCCAGTCTAAGAGTGTTGGAAGAAAGAAGCAATAGCTCTAGCTAGTTTCTCTTTGCAAAACTATACAGTAAAAGAGAGAGGGTTCTCAAATATGACATTCAAAAGCAAAGAGAGATTAGTTTTTTGCTTATATCATATGGTTGGCTCATCTTTCCTTTGCCTAGGAATTAAATAAAAATATTTGTCAGAAGAAAACTGGGGAGAAAGGGAAAGAATAATGATATCAAAGCCTATGTTCATAGAAATGCGTTCAAATTGTGATAAAGGATTCTCCAATAAATTTTTGCATTAATAAATAATATCTGTGAGTTCTGTGATAGTCTGTGCATGTCTTCCATATGCGTGCTTATGGGCTTGCAGAGGTTCACTCCTAATCTTCAGTCTGGCTAAATGTGAAAGCTAATTGCTTTACGAGTCTCACTGAGAATGAAATTTTTGTTCAACTTCTATTTATTTGAATTTAAACTTCTTTTCCCTTGGGTTCTAATGATATATAATTGTATGAATATACTTATCTTTAAACTGATACCTGACCAGTTAAAGTTTTACAAATTGCAGATAGCTAAAATTACTGAGGAAGGTGTAACAATTTCACCCCCTTATGCACTAAAGACCTTGTGGGGATTCACTGCATTCCAGAATCCAACAGTTGGTGCTGAAGGATCATGGTAGACGGGCGGTTGATCGACTGAACCCTGAAATTTACTTTAACCATTTTGGGGTTTAGTCTGCTTGTTATTATATCTGAATCATGGATACTCTCTTAAATTATGTTGGCCTTTCGTTTTTCTGCATGTAATTACTTTATCCATCATGTACTTTACCTTTCGAAAATAAATTATATGCTTCATTCACGCAAAATTTGGCGAGCAATTGTAACAACACAGTAAAATTTGAGATATTGGGAATGGTTTAGTCTTTAATATAACAGTAAAAAAACTACAGGATGCTTAAATTAATTTTTATAAATGTAGGGATGAAATAGTTAATTAGGTCAAACTTCAAGCACTTAAAATTTTTTTTATTAAATTGATTTTTTAATTTGAAAAATTTTCAAACCTCAATTCCTGGTTTGGGCTAAAAAATTTTCAAACCGCACCTGACCAGTTACCCCTGTACGCCTTTCAACAAGAAAGACAAAAAGGTGATCGCGAGGATTGAACGGCTACGATATCGGGAACAGAGTAATAACATAGTCCTCATACAGCGTACCAAACCAAAAATTGCTGTCATAAGCAAAAGCAATAAGCAACAGCTGCGAAAAGTGAAACAGCCATTACAACTTACAAGAAAGAAAGAAGAAGACTTTAGAGCTTTCTTCGTCTCTGTGCAATCTACTTTTCTCTGTCTCCCTCTCCATATCTCTTCTTTCCTATACCAAAAACATCAACTTCTGATCTGACCTCGCCATTCTTGCCACCATTTGCCTGGTATCACCTCTCTCTCTTTCACTCTATGCTTCTTTATATACACTACATGTATTGATTATTTTTAACCTTTTGTGATTGAGGCTGCGCATTGATGATGTATTAGGGTATTTTGATTTGGGTTTGTTGCGTTGTCAATGGAAGCATCTTCGAGTCAACCGGAGTTTGACTACTTGTTCAAGTTATTATTGATTGGGGATTCTGGTGTTGGGAAGAGTAGTTTGCTTTTGAGTTTCACTTCCAAGACTTTTGATGATCTCTCTCCTACGATAGGTGAGTTTTTATGTTCCTCTCAATTACATTTTTTCCCTAAATTTTATTTGGATTTTGAATTGTTTGTTTAATGCATAAGAGTTTCAGTATGTGCTTAGTTTCCATGTTCATGTGAGTTTCAAAAATGTGTTCTTATGAAGTATGTTGAATTTAATAAATTGATATATGAATTTCTTGTAACTCTTTTTTTCAAATAAAAATAATTCAATGAAGTAGTTCTGTCTTTGTGGGGTTGGATTTCTAGTAAAGCACCTCAATCCTATTAATTTTAGTTTTTTGGCTAAATTTTGTAGGCGTAGATTTCAAGGTAAAGCATGTTACCATAGGTGGGAAAAAGTTGAAACTTGCCATTTGGGACACAGGTAATCCTTTGTTACTCATTGATTTATTTCCAGAAATATTTATTCTGTCTTGTTTGTTTCTTTGGTTGTTGCCTGACAAACATAGTGGAAGTATAATAGGTTCATGTTTTCTTGATCTAATGCTGTAATTTAAAGGTGAGATTTTTTTTCCTTGATTTATATATCATGTTCCTAATTCAATTGAAATTTTTCTGCACTGAAAATGATGAATTAATAGAAGAGCTTCACAACATTTTGATTATTGGAAGTTTTGAGGAATAAGGAGAGAAAAGAGGATTCGAATGTTTTGAATATATTTTGTTTCTTTCTCTAAGAATGCATGATTGCATTTCTATCTAAAAGAATTTGTGATTTGTTATCTCTTATGAGAATATGGTTTAGCTATTAACATTAGCTGTGCTGTGGTTAGTAAAGGTTAATTTTACAATTTGTTTTATTTTGCAGCTGGACAGGAGAGATTCAGAACACTTACTAGTTCTTATTACAGAGGTGCTCAAGGGATAATAATGGGTACATGGTTTTATCTAATTTTCCTCTTCCCCATCTTTTTATCTTGTCCTTGGCCGACTACTGTATATTTATTGTGCTTTTGGTTGTATTGAAGAAATAATAATACACCTTAAGAATCTCCATGTTTGCTATTGGAGGTGCCAGTAATTGTATAAGTTAGTTTTTATGCCATCAGAATGTTTCTTCTCCCTATTCCACAAGGAATTAGAATCTTTGCATATATTCACTTCAGCTTCAAAAATAATTGATTTTGGAATTTTAGAGCACAATTGTGTTGATCAGTTGACCTCTAGTTATGCATGAACCTTATGGCAAAATTTTTGGAAGTGACTGTTTTTTTTTTTTTTTAAATACTTATGTTTATCTTAACTTTAAGATTTTTCTATTGGGAATTGGTACAGTGTACGATGTGACAAGACGAGAAACTTTCACAAATTTATCTGATATATGGGCCAAAGAAATTGATCTATATTCAACAAACCAGGATTGCATCAAGATGCTTGTTGGCAACAAAGTTGATAAGGTACATTTCTAACAAAAATATTATCATTCAAGTGAACCTTTTTTTATCTTTTTAAATGTAGTGTAGGGTCTGATGGAATTTAGTAATTCCGATGCGATTTATGTTGGCTGGATGGGCAAATGAATACATTTCAGCATTCCAATATCCTCTAGTTTGTTATATACTTCTGAATTTGTCTCATGATCTCATTAGATAAAATACATGATATTTTTTTTTTTTATGTTGCAAAGGACTCGTCCATATGTAAGCGTATTTTTTGCAGGACAGTGAAAGAGTTGTCACCAAAAAAGAGGGGATTGACTTTGCCAGGGAATATGGATGCCTTTTCCTTGAATGTAGTGCAAAAACTCGAGTCAATGTAGAACAGTGCTTTGAGGAGCTTGTTTTAAAGGTATCTGAAATGCTAGCATTTTCCTTTATAGCTTCTTTGTTATGCAGGTTTGAGTTTGAGTTTAGCTTGCACTTTTAGAAATATCATAATGCAACAAGCCGTCCTTTGTCTGAGATCATACAATTCCCACTTCCTCATGAAACACCTGAGAGCCAACAAATAACTTGTTGTCTTCTTTTCTCTTTAGAGTAACTGAAACATACATTTCTTGTTAAGTAAGTAATGGGATGTTACTTTGCTAATTTCTGCATAACGTTGTTCATGAAAAATTGCTAAGATCTCAGTGCTAGTTGGGTGAAGCATCTGCTCTCTTCTCATTAAGTTTGATTTGTAAGCAAGGATCATTATTTGGTGTTTAGTGGCTTACCCTTTGAGATTTATCTACAAACATGCATGACTGACAATTCCATCCTGCCTTGCATAGCATTGGAAATGCAAAGTTCAATGAAGCCGCTGTGCATAGTAACTACAGCGGTGGATGATTGTGATTGTGTGGTCCGTGTATCTGTCTTGAATGGTGAGTGCTTATGAAGATGATGTTGACATGCAGATCTTAGAAACACCAAGTCTGTTGGCAGAAGGCTCGAGTGGTGTCAAAAAGAACATCTTCAAACAGAAGCCTCCAGAGGAAGCTCCATCTGGTAGTTGTTGCACTTGGTGATTGCATATATTTATTCTTTTTGCTTTAATTGTGAAAGTAGCCCATGGTTTTCCATTTCTTTTGTTGTTCCGTATGCTTGGACAGTGAACTGTACATTACTACTTACGAAAGTGACAATCTATGATGTGGGCTTCATCTTCATTAGATATGGACTGAAAACAAAGTGTTTGAGACAGCTGCTCGCTGTTGTCCGATGACCAGTGTCCAAATCGCTGGTCTCCAACCAATTTAATACTCCAAGTAGGAGCGAGTAATTAGAAATTACCAGTCCTGCAGTTCTATTACTATTTAAAATATCAACTTGGCTCGTAAAATAAAAAGATGACTTGTATTATTGTTGGCACTATGAAAGGAAAAAATATTAAAGGTGAAACTTCACATTTGTCCTAATCTAAACAACTATTTAAGTTAGTTGTGGTTGCAAATTGTTTAGAGCCTAAAATTAAACACATGATTTTGAAATATTCTAAGGTGATGTTTTTTTATTTCTCAATTTGATAAGAGTATTTATTGGATTGAGTAATTAATTTAATTAATTGATATACATATAGTATATTTATGAGAATAATGAGTTTCTTGAATTGTAATTAATGAAATTACATGTTATAATTGATAGTATAAATGATTAATTACATGTAGCTATAATTGATAGATAATTATATTATGTGCCCTTTTCCCTCTATTTCTAAAATTTATCCAAAAACTAGTCACGTACCTAGGGTGGTGATTTTTCGGTTTTTAGAATCGGCACCTGTGGGAATTGAAATTGGAATCGTGAGGAATTAGAACCAGCCTGAATCAAAACCGGAATTGGAGATCTACAGTTCGTTTTTGGTTCCAACTTTTGAGAAATCGTGACTCGGCAGTTCTAAGAATCGGTCCGAACTGGCTGAAATCAGCGATTTTTCCAGCCGGTTAGAACTGGCAAGTTCGACGATTTGAATCGGCTGTTCCTCTCGGTTTCAATAACTTTTTTTTTTTAAAATATTTTTGTGAAATCTCCAAATTAATCTTCCTAATAATTATATAATGGCTAGTTTTAAGGGAATTTGTGAAAAATTGATTTTTTAGATTTACTATAAATATTCCTTTTCATTTAAAATAAATAAATTAAGTTGAAGCCTTTTTTTTAAAAAAAAAAAAAAGTTCATGGCTTTTTTTTTTAATAAACAAACTAAGTTAAACCCTTTTTAAAATTTTTTTCTTTAAGTTTTTTCTAAAAATTATTTCATAAATATTGAAATTTTAAATTTTCAACAAAAAAAAAATGTTCCTAACTTTTGATTTTAGATTTTATAAAGTCGGACAATTAATTGGAGAACAGGTCGGAACCATTGATTTGGAATCATTAAGGAACCAGAATCGGAATGGTAATTGTTCAGTATTAAATCGTAATTAGAACCGTCAATTTCCGGTTTCAAATTTTTTGAAACCGAAATCAGCGGTTCCGGAATCGTGGCCACCCCTACATGTACTAGCGTGATGCAAAGATTGTTAATTGTAATAATAATCAGTACAGTTAATTCTTGTAAGTATATTATTGTAATTTAACTGATATACTTAGTTAATTATTTATTTTTTCTCTTTAAAATTCTCATGTATGCAAATTAAATTAGGTATAAGAATATTTAATTTTAATGAATTGAAATTAATATTTTAATTTTATTTGTTAATGTAATTAAATTATTTAATTAATTTTTATTAAATATGACTCTATTATAACTCCATTAGTTTTTTTATAGAAAAAGCTATTCAATAAAAAACTTAATATTTATTAAATATAAAAAATTTATTAAATATAAAAAATATTAATATATAATGAATATAACTCCATTAGTTTTTTTATAGAAAAAGCTATTCAATAAAAAACTTAATATTTATTAAATATAAAAATATTAATTATAATGAAATCATCCATTAGATTTGTGAGTTTGGAGCTTCAATATTTAATAAAATATTTAATTTTTTAATAAATGTAAAAAAGATTAATTATAATAAAAAATAAAATATCACATCATCACTTTTATATTTTAATATATTATCACGTAAGCATTTATATTTTATAAATTATATATTTATATAGATATCTACGGATATCAGCAATTTTTAACCTTACTTATAAAATAGTGACCTTTTAAAATTTTGTTCCTATAAATTTTGAATTTTTGTTTTCGCTCACCGAACTTTTTCTTTTTTAGTTCCCTCACTCAAATAAGGTTTAGCAATTCGTATCTGCAGACTAAAAAGGCGCCATTTGTTGCTGCTTTATATTCCATTAATTAATTATTAAAAAAAAAAAAAACAGTGTTTCCCGAAGGAGAATACTAATAGAATATAAATATTTATTAAGGACTTAATGGTATTTTCTGTGCAAGTTTCCAACAATTATAAGGACTAATATTGATATTGAGCATAGAATCCTATTTAGAAACATATATGTTTTTCTAAATAAATAATGACTTGGGGTTTAAGAGCAATATCAACCCTTTTGATAAAAGAAGAAATTGTTCTTGCTCCTTTTTTTATAGTTTTCAAGAACTCATACAACACTAAGATCGAAGTTAATTGGAATCATATAAAGCTATACCCAAAGCTCCCATTAATAAAAAAGCAGAACCCTATATAAATAACATTATTATTCAAAAAGGGCTCTCGAAGCAATAAAACTTTAAACACAATTGATTATTTCTGTACAATTAACCTTTGATATCTTATAGCAATCAAATTGGTGCGGTAAACATGGAATACATCTTTTACAAGAATAACAATAGAGTCATTGATTGATTTTTTGAATCTCCATCTATGAAAAAAGATCTGCTTAATACTCTTGCTCTCTACGTATCAAGTTTTGCATTAAATATATCACAATCACACTTACTTTTAGGTTATATAATACTCAAATTTGCTCATAAGAATATAATTGGCCGAATATATAAATTGTCCCACGAACTTTTATTAAAAAGTTCTGTGACACTCTCGGCTTTTAAAATGATCTTGTGGTCTTTGAAATTTTATTTTTTGTAATCTATGCACATTTTAACAGAGTAAAAAGCATTGAAAGCATTGAATAAATCACAGGCGCGATAGTGTGGATTAATGATAATACAAATGGCAATTACGTTTCCCTGCCAGATGCCATCTTACCTCAGTCGGTTCAGCATCCCTTCATCTCAGTTTCTTCTTCTTTTTTTTTTCCTAAAACTTTCTAAGTACGCCAGCAACTCTATTTTCAAAATTTTTAATGTTGCTCATTGTCGTTTTCTTTTTTCTTTTTTTTTTTCTTTTTTCATCATCGTTCAATCCATAGTATCTAAGAAGAAGCAGAAAATCAAGGGGACATTGTGGATTCATGAATCCTTCGTTTTTTATTCATCGGTAGCCCAAAGAGGGAAGGAAAAAAGTTGAGTTTGGTAGGGATTGTTAATGGCAATTTAGACTAAACAGACAGATATGAAGCGGACTACTTGCTTGGATGAGTACGAAGAGCTTGTTATAGCAGATTAGTTTTCGTTTAGATTGACTTTCTTCAACCATATTATTGTGAATCCTTGTTTGATTTCATCTCTTCAATTGCGATTAACAACTATTATTGTTTTGTATTTGCCGTTTTTCCCTTGGTAAATTTATGGGTTTGAGTCTTTGAATAAATTAAAATTTCTGAGTATATCCATTGTATCAGATCTTGAGTACATTGAATGTATCAGATCTCATTTTTTGATATCCTTCTGTTTTTTATATTTTTTCAAAAATTAACTTTGGTATCTTTAATATCAATAATTGCTTTTGCAGGTGGACTTTGATTTCTCTTCTGCTGACAATGAACTTGACTAGCTTAACCGACCAAGCCAAACCTTGTCCACTTTGTATGCTAGACATACCTCAATTAACCTAACCTCTTTTCTTTTGACCAACTTTGATGACATGGCATATAAATTTTTGATCAACTCTGATGATATGGCATTATATCTACTTAGATCTCTAATCTTTTTTGGTGCTTTATTGTTATGGGAACATCTTATCTGCATAGCATAAATTATACATAGACATGTTATATTATGTTTTACATTCGTTCTCATGATTTAGAGATTGATTTACTTGAGCAGTTCTACGGCACAAAGTTTCTTGTACCGAATTTCATGCTATAGATGCCACCAAGGTTCACATGCTAATGCTCCAAAACGTGAGATAAATTATGTTTTCTTTAATTTTTGTGAGATTATATTTATGTTTCAAACACCATTTTTAATTATTGTGTGAGATAAATTAATACTTCATTTTTGACTATCATAAGATCTTTTGTGATGAGATAATTATATTACTATAGAATTTATTTATTTGAGTTATGTAACTATATTATTTGATAGTCAAGTGCAAGATATTAAAGAAAAAGTTAAATAATGCAACCATTTAAGGTAAAGGAGGTCGTATTCAAAAGAAAAGGAAAAAAAAAAAAGTTTTCTTTCTTTAATGTTTTAAATATTTTTCTATCTATTTATTTGAACAATGTGATTATATTATTTAGTAGCCTAATGTTATGTATCAAAGGGAAAAATTAGAATAAAATTTATATTTATTATTTATATTGTTTTGAGGTAACTAAGTGCTCAATTTCTCCAAGGCTGAGTGTCTGATTTTTCTGAGCTACAGTCTCAACTCGCTATACTTTAACTAAACTGAAAAAAATTAAGTTTAAATGAGTTAAAAAAGCTAAATGCATTCATAAGGTTAAACACTTTATTCGAGCTATGGGCTCAACTCACCATACTCTAAGTGAGTTAAAAAGATTAAGTGTCTGTATAAGGTTAAGCACCTTTTTCAAGCTACGCGCTCAACTTGTCATATTATAAGTGAGCCAAAAAAAGCTAAGTGTTGTAAAAAGGTTAAACATATTTTTCAAGCTAAGGATTCATCTCGTCATGATCCAAAGTGAACTGAAAAAGATTTCAAAAGTTAATTTTCAAATTTTAAAAAATAAAACCAATTAATGTCCAAATATCGATACTAGGATGATAATTTTTTGACATTACTCTAAAGCTACATATTCATCCCAATAGGCCAACCTTGGAAAACCTTAAAGGGTGGCTTTAAAACAAAATAATAATGGAAATAATAATACAGAAGGAGAGAAGGAATAATAATTTAGACATAAATGTCTAAAACTAAGGGAACGTATGATAGAATATAAATATTTATCGGGAACTTAATTGTAATTTTTATATAAGTCCCCAATAATTATAGGCACTAATACTGATATTTAGCCTAGAATCCTAATTAGGAACATATAGGGATGGAAGCGGCAGATACCCATAAAATTTAAGTTACTACTCATATCCATTTAAAATCCGTTTAGATATCCATTTAAGTACTCGTATCCAAATCTGGTTAAATTTTTACTATCCGAACTCATCCAAAACCCCTTTAAAATATAATTATACAGGTAGGATATCCACGAATTTTAACTATCCAAATTTGAACTTATTTAAAATACAATTTTTATTAACAGTGGACAGGATACCCGTATGTACCCAATAGCGGGTAGCGGGTATCAAGTATCCAAAGATCTATATTCGTACTCATATCCATTACGGGTAGTAATTTTACTATTTGCATTCGTCTCATACTCATTTATAATTATCCATATTCTATTTAAATGGATCAAAGCGAGACAGATATCCTAAAATTTTACTATTTGCTTTCATCCCTAAGAATACATGTGTTTTCCTAAATAAATACTGACTTGAAATTTAAGAAAGAACCTTGTATAAACAACATTATTCCTCAAAAGAAGAAGGAGCTCTTCAAGCAATAAAACTCTAAATACAATTGATTCTTTCTTTACAATTAGTTCTTGATATCTTATAGGCTATCAATAATATTAATCTCATTTTAATAAGAGATTTTTCTCTATTACGAAAAAAAAAAAAAAAAAAATATACCCGGAAAAATAAAAAAAAAAAAGAACAGGACTTTATGAAATAAACCTCAATATCCAACGAAACGCGACCAAAAGTTGATCTGTATTTTGGCGACCCGGTCATGAAAGCAGCGCGGAATTACAGAATACTCAACACAGATTCTGGAAGTCCCACTCTTGTGAAATCTACGCGTGCTAAATTGAACCGTTTTTCCTTTTTTTTTTTTTTCCAAGGAAAGTCCAAACCCTGTTACCTCTGGGTACTGGGGTAAGCATAGGAATTTAGAACAAAATAAAAAATAAAAATAAAAATAAAAATAAATATAAAATTAAAATAAAAGACGGCCAGGAGTAAAAAATGCGGCGGCAGAACAAAAAGATTGAAGTGAATCATTGAGACAAATAAAACACGCCAGTTAAATTACGAGATTCTGTTCTTCCCGCCCGCTACCACCACCCAATCCCTCCTCTTTTATGTCTTCTTCTTTTCTTTTAATATTTATATTATTCTGTCCCAAATCGAATTCTAATCACCAACCAAGCTCAACTCGCGGACTCCGCCCTCCTGCTCGCCCTTCCTCCAAGTCCCACCCTCTCCCCGGCGGGGATGGCCGATGCGTGTGAAGCCTCCTCATATTTCCCACCCCAGAAGCAAGCACCACCATCACAACCACTACTTACAGCACGACCACTTAGCCGCCGGGCAGGGCCGGCAGCGGTTAGGGGTCCGAACCAACAGTGTCTTCTCAATCACGAACCACTATCACAACTAATCGGGACGCTCATGAATCGGCAATATGAGATCCCGATGCTCTCTTCAGCGGGCGGTGCGGCATCAGTTCCTAAATTTTTTCATGCTTTTTTATTGCGCTTTGGCTGATCAAAGTTGAGTAGATTACTATTTTTTATATCCACTTTTTTTGATCGACTCCTTAATTTTGCTGTATATGATTAAATATTTCTGTCTCCTCCTATGTCCTTCCAGTTTGTTTATTCCCGACTATTCCCTATCTTTGCGGCTATGATGACTTACGGAGAAAGGCCACAGCTACATTCGGTGGTTTCCCCTGCCCTTTTGAAATTGAAGCAAAAATTTACTGCTTTTGCATATGAATGAGTCATATTAGCCGATCTGCACTAGTGTCCTAGCTTCAGAGTCTAATTATTTTCTTAATAATTGCAAAAAAAAAAAAAAAAAAAGAACAGGACTTTATGAAATAACTAATATCCAACGAATGCGCAAAAGTTTATTGTATTGGCGCCCGGTCATGAAGAGCCGAATACAAAACTCAAAGATTGTGGATCCCACATCTTGTGATCTACGGTGCGTAAAATTGAACCGTTTTCTTTTTTTTTTTTTCCAAGAAAGTCCAAACTGTTACTGGTACTGGTAGATTAGAATTTAGAACAAAATAAAAAATAAAAATAAAAATAAAAATAAAATAAAATAAAATAAAAGACGGCGAGTAAAAAATGCGGCGGCAGAAACAAAAGATTGAAGAATCATGAGACAAAAAACACGCAGTTAAATTACGGATTCTGTCTCCGCCGCTACCACCACCCAATCTCCTCTTTTATTCTTCTTCTTTTTTTTAATATTTTATTATTCTGCAAATCAATTCATCAACCAACCAATCCGCGGACTCCGCTCCTGTCGCCCTCCTCAAGTCCACCTTCCCCGGCGGGGATGCCGATGCTGAAGCCTCTCAATTTCCACCAGAAGCAGCACCACCATCACAACTACTTACAGCACGACCACTGCCGCCGGCGGCAGCGTTAGTCGAACCAACAGTGCTTCCTCAATCACGACCACTATCACAACTATCGGACGCTATGATATCGAATAGAGATCCCGATGCTCTCTTCAGCGGCGGGGGCATCAGGTTCCTAAATTTCATGCTTTTTAATTGCTGTGATCAAATTGAGTAGATACTATTTTTTATATCCACTTTTTTGATCGACTCTTTTTGCTGTATATGATATTCTGTCTCCTCCTATGTGTCTTCCAGTTTGTTTATTCGTATTCCTATCTTTGCGGCTATGATGACTTACGGAAAGCAGTACATTCGGTGGTTCCTGCTTTGAAATTGAAGCAAAATTACTGCTTTGCATATGATGATCTATAGGGATTGCAAGTGTTAGCTCAGAGTCTATATATTTCTTAATAATTGTTGAAAAAAATTGCTAATGGTGGAAACTGTTGAATTTTAATTTATGGCTAAGGTAGTTAAAGAAGAATCAATTATCAATTTGAGTAAGTTTGCATACAAGGGTTTGGGATGGACTTAGGTGTCCATGTTGTAAATAGTGTCAAATGATGGGCTGTGAACCTATTGGTTTTACAAATACGTTTTTATCATAAATAATTAGATCAAGGGACTTGAAACATTGTGAAATTTAATTTCTTATTATTTTCTCTCAACTATTTCTGTTTGAAATTTTGGCATTTATAACAATGGAATGTTATGCCAAGTTGTGATTAGTGGTTACTGTGAATACTGTCACGTTGGCTTGGCTATATCTTATAACTTTCAGCTAAGTCTTCATTTAGTAGTTTTGATGTGAAGGATTGATGATTATCAGTAAATTGGATGAGTTTATTCATATGAGATTGGTTTCAGTCACTTGAAGCAATCATATCACTATTTGAAATTTGAGATTGCAGCATTCAGAGTTTCGAGGATTAAAAATTTGTGGAATATGGCTGTTGGGGCTCTAGATTCATCAAGGGACTTGATTGTTGAAAGATAGATTCCACAGAACAAGAATAACGTGTAACACTAAACCAAGAGTGCATTTTAGGAAGGGAGATGAGTGTATAAAATGAGGATCAGAAGATGGTTTGGCAATGTCCAAAAAATTCAAAGTTTCAAGCAGCTTTTTTTTGTGTATTTGGAAATTATAAAAGTTAAACTTGCTTGTTGAAAGATGAAATCCTGCTCTTCTTTAGCTTCGAGAATGTTAGTATTGCACCCTAGTCAGCTTTCCAATAAGCTTCTCATAATCAGACATGTTCCGCATAAGTACCTGGGCGTTAGAGCTAGATTTGTATGTTGCTGAATCAGAATTGTTTAAAAAATTTTCACAAGGGTTTAGGGTTTAATGGTATGAGAAAAAATGTTGTCATGTGGCTACAACAGAGCATACTGATGCGTCTAACAATATAATTTTGTTGCTTTAATTTGTAAACTTCATTTGATATTCCATATTTTTTGATAGAATTTGGTTTAATTATATAAAATTCAAATTTTGTGTAAATAAAAGCAAGCGCAAAACTAGATCCCAAGATGGATAATTCTCTTCTAGAAATTAAAATCTCTTGATGAAATGAAAAAGAGAAAGACCAAAATGACTACCTTCTTACCGCTAAGATTAATGATTTTTACTCTGGGTTTTTAAAGTGGATCTCATGTTTCCAAATCTTACTAAATTGGGACGTCGTTCCCAGTTATGTTTTAATATAATATTAGACAATATTCACAATTTCACATTGAAAACTGGATACAAGATTCAGGTATCCCATGCTTTTGCTTTGATTTCAAATTTTATTACTTGTGCTATGTCCACATCACTACATCAGAAAGAACAGTAAAATTCTTAGCCTTTTTGTTTCTAGAAGTCAAGAATTGATGATATCCCAACTTGCATGGACTTTTTTGTGAATATCAAAGGAACTCTGCCATGAAATTTATCTCAAATCTCGAAATTTGTGCAGGCTACATTGTTTACTTATTCTTTCTTTTTATGTTTTTGCAAATTCTTTTAGCTTTCTCTCTGGCAGCCGAACTGCAAAACTCAGCTATGGATATTCAAGTTTTAAGGGAAAAAGGGCTTCAATGGAGGATTTCTATGAGACAAGGATAGCTGAAGTTGATGGTCAAATGGTTGCCTTCTTTGGTGTTTTTGATGGTATGACCCTTCTTTTCATTGCTAAATTGGTATGATATTGTCTTTATGGTGTTTGTTCTCACTTCTTAATCCATCAAATTAAAAAGCTGAGGGTGCTTTTTCATATAAATAATATCTTGCTGTCCATTTTTATACTTCCTAAATATATCTTGTTATGATCCCTCAAATTTTTTCCTCAACTGCTTCAAATTAGGAAGTGTTCTTATTTATTTATTTATTTTTTTTTTTTTTTTCAAATTGAGCGCTCTTTTATTAAGGCGAGCGACCAAGGGCATACCTTTTTCACAATGACGTTTCTTGTTGTCTCCTTCATTTTTGAAGTTTTGTGTGATACTGTGGCCCAGTATTTGTTGTACTTATACTTCCGTAATCATTAATACCGTTGTACTTTAGGTCACGGAGGTGCCAGAACTGCTGAATATCTTAAAAACAACCTATTCAGGAATTTAAGCAGCCATCCTGATTTTATCAAAGACACAAGGACAGCCATTGGTATGAAATTTCTGTAGTTATTGCATCATTCTGTGTATGGAATGCCTATTCTTTTTCCCATCTTTTCATAGGAACAAGTACTTGATTGCAGTTGAAACATTCAGACAGACAGATGCAGATTACCTCAATGAAGAAAAAGGCAATCAGAAAGATGCTGGGTCAACTGCATCAACTGCTATGCTGTTGGGGGACCGGCTCCTTGTTGGGAATGTTGGTGATTCTAGAGTGGTAGCCAGTAGAGCTGGTTCAGGTTGCTTTTCTTTTCCTTCTTTTCCTTTTTCATTTCAAGGGCAGGGCTTATAATGAACATATTTTCGATCAACTAAATTGATAAACTTTAGATGGTAAGGGAAATATTATGAAATTTAAAATAAGAGTCACTCATGCTATAATTCATATTTGATTAGCCTGTTTAATGAAACATGTAAAGTCAGATGCTTATATCATGCCTTCACTGGGAAGAGGTTTAAATGTACTAATTTTATTGATCTTAACTATTATTATGTTTTATGTGTAGCTGTTCCACTGTCTATTGATCACAAACCTGATAGATCTGATGAACGCCAAAGGATTGAAGAGGCTGGAGGTTTTGTCGTGTGGGCAGGTGAAATTGAATCGTACTAGGTTGTTTATTTGTTGTTGCCATATCTTTGTTTGTACATTGTCATGCAGAGTGAATGTTATGTTGTTTATTTTAGCCTCTAAAGGTTTTTGTTTGTACCACCCAAGATATGTACCTTTGCCACTTGAACTTGTTAGGATTTTTAACTATCTAAACACCTGTATAATTTGCTGTGTAATTGACTGTTAAAATCTCATGTTCCTGAATGTGTACTTTTTTTCTTTTCGTGCTCAAAAAATCTTGCGGAGTTGTTTCTGGTTCGACTGAAAGAGATTTTGATAGCCTCCTCTCAGGTGCATGCTAATATGCTAACAATGATGCACTGATTTCTGAAAATATTGCTATCAGAAAATGGGCCTTAGTGTGATGAGAGAGAGAGAGAGAGAGAGAGGAAACATATGATATGAGGGAGAGAGAAATATTGGAATTAATTTTTCACAACAGGTATTTTGATCATACCTTGGTTTTTACTTTGTTGAGGTCAGTAGTGAAATGCTATTTATTTACATGCTTGCTTTTATATGTAAAACTGCAGTTTAATCGTCTTCTTGTATGGTAGTTGTCTACATTGAAGATCTATTTTATACAATGTTAAGATTCTAAAACAATTTGAATGTTTCTTTTAAAATTATTCTTTCATATTAATAGTTACATATTGTGTAGGAAGAATCCATTGGATATTTTCATTGTGTTGGGAGGAAGAAAATCAATTTAAACAAGATGAAGTGGTGCTCTGTTTGCTTTTATAGATAAATGCTTTATTCTTTAAACAAAAGATACAATTTTGATATCATACTTTCTGAGTGTATTTATCTAACATGCTGCTAAATTTTCAGGAACATGGCGCGTCAGTGGTGTTCTTGCTGTTTCTCGTGCATTTGGAGATAAACTACTTAAGCAGTATGTTGTTGCTGAGCCAGAAATTCAGGTAATTTAAAATACAATGGGTTTTGATAGCTGATTTTCATTTTCAGTAATTGGGCAATGTTTGAGAATTGTTTGGGGCAATAGTGAAATTCTCGAACTGCCATATATATTTGCATGACTGAACCTGGTAGGCAGGTATAAATTAAATATGCCCTGCATATGCTGAAAATAATGACACTCTTACTCTGGGTGTTAGGAGTTGCTGGATATGTATGTATCCCCATGGTCATGGATATTCCGGGGTCTGATTATAGGCCTGTCATGCTAGAAAGATTTATTTATTATTCTATGATTACTATCCAAAAATCTAATTCTTCCTTTCTCAAACCTAAATCCTGGAATCAATAAGAAAGAAAACTGTTGATTACTGTTGTTTGAGGTCGGACAATTTGAATCTGATTTGTGTGGCTGGGGAGTGAGGGTTTGGAGTTATCTGTGTTCTATGTTGGATTCACTATTTGCTAAATTAGAGGGAGATGGAAACTTCTGTCATTTCTTGCTGTGTATTTGTGTTATGATATTTTATTCCTCATAATTGTGTTGCTTCCACTGGTTAGGAAGAAGAAATTGACGGTGTGGATTTTATAATCATTGCAAGTGATGGTCTGTGGAATGTGTTATCAAATCAGGTCAGTGTTGGCTGCTGGCTTCTGTACAGATTGTATTCTTTTATTATTATGTATTCAAAAAAGAATCATGTAATTTTTTCAAGTAACGTTAATGATATTCAAGAATTCAGGCAATAGTACGCTTTACTTGACATTTAAATATGTATTATGCCTACTGAAGCTCAAAAGACATTCTATCTTTTATTATATAGAACGGATTTGAAATGATTTGGTGCATACGTGTTGTCGTAGAAATATTGCCTGCATTAACATGCTATTAGGGGCACGCAAATGATTTAGTTAACTGAAAACTGAACTGAACCAATTCAATTTCAGTAAACTGAGTTCATTTTGGTTATTTCAGTTCGAATTGGTTCTGGCTAGGGGTGGCCAATTCAGTGAACTGGCAGTTATGGTCCCAGAAAGTTTGGAACTAGGACCGTCAATGGTACTCCTGGTTCTAGATCTGCTGCTGGGTCCAACCAGGGTTTTAGCTCCTTTTTTTTTTTTAAAAAAAAATTTATTTCAGTCCCAGAGACAGGAACTGGAACTGAGCTCAGTCCCCTTTGGTTTTGATTCTAATTCGAAACCAAAACCGGTTGCTGGGCCTAGTTATGGTGATAAAAAACCTAAATAATCAAATTAGGCGTTAAGGAAACATTCTCCTTGTTTGTCTGGAGTTGATGAATTGCTCATGGGGGTGGGAATCAAGCAATTTTTTTCCAGAGGCTATTCTGTAGAAAAATGCTATTTCTAACTAGGCTTTGAATTTTTCAAAGGGGTCTTCATAGGTTATTCTCCTCCTTCTTGGGTACTTAGGGTTTTAGAAGCTGATAGAGTTGGGGTCTTTTGGTGAAGATATATAGTGTACTTCCGGGTTTGACACCATCCTTTGCAATTTCGAAAAAAAAAAAATTAATTGAATCGAACCAAATTGTTTATATTTATATATGAAAATATATAATTTATAAAAGATTTTTTTAATATAATGTATATATGTTTTTTGAATTTTTTTTTTTTTGGGTTCAGTTTTTGGGTAATTTTAGGAATTTTGTAGTTTGATTCTGTTTGGTTTTATACAAAATTCAATACAATTCAATTGAATTTCCTACCTAAAAAAAAAAAAATCCATATTTCAGTTTTGTGAAAAATCGACCGGATCGATTGAACTATGCAGTGCTCACCCCTAATGCTAGCTTATCTGCTTCCAGGATGCAGTTGCTTTAGTTCAGGACATACCAGATCCAGAAGCAGCATCAAGAAAACTAATACAAGAAGCTTATGCAAGGGGGAGCTCTGACAATATTACTTGTGTCATAGTTCGATTTAACAATTCATGAGTGGATTTGTCTAGGTTTCGGATTTATCTGGTAAGCCATTTGCCCTTTTTACATGTTTGGAGGTTTAAATTAAATGCTTCAGTTCTGTTATTGATTCTTGTTTTTCCTTTTACAGATTTTAAGAACCATTAAATATCATTCGTATCAGAAACCAGGAAGTTCAAATTGTACCATTGGTGCTTTTCTTCTTAGCTTCTTATTCAAGTAGAAAGACTGTTATAAGTTGATTACTATTGCTGGCTAACAACTGGATTTTTCAGCTTCTTAGTTTTGATACGTGCTCTTTTATGGTTGGCTTGAGCAATCCTTTTACCTGATGTAAAAGATTGGCATTGTGGTTCGGCGTTTTGATGCCTCCAGCCACATCAAATTGTTCTAAGTGATTCCTAATGACTTGGTTTGTCAAGATCCTTTCCTTTTTGGTGTCTTTTTTGAAACAAAAACAAGGTAAAATTGAGGTAATTACAGTTTTAACATTACACAGTTGGTATGACTTTTTCTGTTGTTTTAGCCGAAAGCATGTTTATGGTAAGGGACATTTTCGGATTCTGGTTTTTCTATTTATTTGAAATAAAAAATAGTAAGCTTATTTTCTCTTTAAAAAATAATTTACATTTGGAAAATAATTTTTTTAAAATGTTTACTTAATAACTTATTTTCTGTTTTTTGTTTTTGGATAGAAAAAAGAGAGAAATAAAATTAACTGTTATATCATGAATTAGTCATATTGATGAACTTCGGGATAAGACTTATTTTACTTATTTAGTTATAATATTGAACATTAAGTTAAAAAACTAAAATCTATAATTTCTTAGACTATAAAAATATTTAAAATGATGGAAATTTCATATTTTGAAATTTTATTATTAATTATGAGAAGAAAATACATAAAAATAATAAAGCATGGTAATTAGATTGATGGTGGTGTAGTGGCCAATAGCAGACGATAATCAACAATAACTGATAATGGTGAGTTATTAAACCTCTCTCTCCCTCTCTGTAGATTGTGAAATTTGTACAGTCACTGGTTGCTAATGAAGATGTCCAATAGCATTGTTACAATTGTCTATGTTAGGGTTTATCCGTCGTTGCCACTGCCGCCTGGTGCTGCGCTCAGTCTTTGTTTCAAGCAAGGAAGAGGAAATTATATGGGAACAAAAGAAAAAAAATTAGGGTTCAATTCAGTCAACCCTAAGAGAGAAATTGAAGAATTGAGAATAGTGGCCAAATGACGTTTTCGTATTAAAAATCTACTCTCTCTCCTTGGACCATGCTTTTTGGCTTTGACTGACAGTTTTCTTTCTAAACGGAAGGACCGAACAGTGTAACAGTACTGATATATAAGGATGTTTTCATGTATTTCAAAAAAAATGAGGACGGCTAATGAATTAAGGTATTATATAGGGATGTAATAGTAATTATCCCTAAAGAAAATATGTTCCATCCACTAATATTGATCGAGTTCTTGTTTAAATAATTGAAATAATTATGTTCAAACGTATGTCACGTACTTTAAATATTTGGGATTAACATAGAAAGAACTCCATTTTAAACTTCTTTCCATGTTAGAAGATGGATGTCGTCCTTTTGATGGCCTTAAAAATAGCTCACACTTTTCATTTGTGGAGCCATTTGGAGATGGTGTTAGATACAACGCCACATGCATTATCATCATGCTCTTCACCCAAAAGCATCCTTATTATTATTTTTTTTTAATTCTTTCTTTTTCAAAAAATATATGTATTATACTAAGATTTTGCTGAATTTCACCCTCATGCTAAAAATTCTCTATTTAAAAACTGTCTTCCCTATAAGTGTTGCAAGTTGCAGCCTAAAACATGTTGGTTCCAAATGAAACCTAACAGTGGCCCTCCGCTTGGGGCCCAATTTTCAAACCCAGGCCAACCCCAAACTCAGCCCACATCCACATGAATCCCACCCCACTAAAGGCCCACACCTGGATTAATCAAAACCGACCTTTCACTCTTTATAATGGATTAATTACAAAATACTCTTGAGATTTGCTTCAAAACACATTCTTGATCCTTACTATTTAAAAAAATTACCAATCAGTTCATAAGATTTTTAATGACATTTCAAATTAGATCAATTTAATACTTGACAAATTAAATTTTAGTCTTCATAATTAAATTCTAAACACTTTCGTCTATATATAATTAGTATAGAGACAAATGCGAATTTTACATTTAAAGTCAAATGTTCAAAATCAAAGCAAATTAAAAAGAGGCAGACAGACACAACAGTATCATAAGCGCCACCTTAGTGACAGTTAAAATACTGTTTTGCTCCCGCGAAAAAGAAACTTCAAGTATTAGTTTATTGACATGAAGAACTGGAAAGGCAACACGCCCAAGTGGCCCATTGCATCTCTTTCACTTTCCCTATATTATTCTCTCTATGACCTATCTTTTGATCATTTCACAATTTGGAGAAGCTAATTAAAAGCTCACTTTCATCTTCTACACTATTGCTAATAATTCAACGATGGTGAAGGAGACGGAGTATTATGATGTTCTAGGTGTCAGTCCTTCTGCCTCAGAGGAAGAGATTCGCAAAGCTTATTATCTTAAGGTTTGAGTGCTCAATTAGTTTTATATTTATTGATAGTGGTTTTTTTTTTTTTTTTTTTTTTTTTAAAATTTCTAAAGCCACCTTTCGGTACTATATATTAATTAGATATAGAGACAAATTGCGAATTTTACATTTCAAAGTCAAATGTTCAAAATCAAAGCAAATTAAAAAGAGGCAGAGCAGAACACAAACAGTATCACATAAGCGCCACCTTAGTGACAGTTAAAATACTGTTTTTGCTCCGCCGAAAAAGAAACGTTCAAGTGATTAGTTTATTTGACATGAAGAACTGGGAAAGGCAACACGCCCCAAGTGGCCCATTGCACTTTCTTCTTTCACATTTCCCCTAAATTCATTCTCTCTCATTAGACCCTAATCTTTTGATTTCATTTCCCACAATTTGGAGAAGCTAATTTAAAGCCCTCCACTTTCCATCTTCTTACCACTATTGCCTAATAATTCATACGCATGGTGAAGGAGAGCGGAGTATTATGATGTTCTTTAGCGTGTACTAGTCCTTCTGTGCCTCAGGAGTCCAGGGAAGAGATTCTCGGCCAAAGTTGCTCTTATTATTCTTAAGGCTCTTGAGTTGCTCACTATTTAGGTTTTTTATATTTATAAGATTAGTGGTTTTTTTTTTTTTTTTTTTTTTTAAGCGTTGTTTGAATATGCTTAGTTGATGAATGATTTTTTTTTTTTTTTTTTTTTTTTTAAGGTTGAATATGTTAGTTATGATGATTTAATATTGTTCATTAATGTTGTTTTATTTTTAAAGAATTGGTGTTTCATGAGAATTTTCAATTGTAGATTTAAGACAAATTATTCCATTGTCAGTTCTTTCTTTTATTTTTCTGTTAAAGGTGTCTTTTTTGCATAGGATCTCAATTAACTTTATTAAATCGTAGATGTTTTTGGGCTATTCTTGGCCGAAAATCCTTCAGAAGAAAAAAAAAAAAAAAACTTTCTTATTTGAATTTTTCATATTGGAAATTTATTACCAAGAATGAAAGAAAGAAACCTTATATATTTTACAGGCCAGGCAAGTTCATCCAGATAAAAATCCAAATGATCCTCAAGCTGCAGAAAGATTTCAGGCAAGTCCATGTCTTTTACTATTTTCTTGTTATTGATTCTTTTCTCTTTTCCATTTACTTTTCCCTCTACATAGTTTCTGTTTCTTTTCTTGGAAATGATGGGAAATTTCTTTCTTTAATCCTGTTGTCCCAGAACTACATCTGGAAATATTCTTGTATAAATGACATTTATTCTGCATATTTTATCTTTTTGATCTTATTAAACCAAAGATGGTGAATTTCGACAGGCGTTAGGTGAAGCATATCAAATTTTGAGTGATCCAGTGCAAAGAGATGCTTATGATAGGAATGGCAAGTGTTCCATATCAAGGTAATATTTAAGCTTTTTGATTTTACTAAGCACTAAAGTTTATATTATTTCTGTAATATCAGCTATTAAGTCCTGTTAAGCAAGTTCACTACAAAATATGTAATATCCGCATGTTTTCCCTCAAAAAAACAGAATGATCAAACCAGAAATTTTAGCATGGATTGAGACTTGATTGTAAACTTGTTTACAACTTTTAGTACTTGATTATAAAAATATTAATTTCTAGGACTTCTGATCTCGTTAGTCATTAATTATTTCTTGAATTTAATTTTTACTAATTCTTGTTCTGATACTGGAAAATAATACATTGTTGTATCTATTAGAGAAACTATGCTTGATCCTACAGCAGTATTTGCTCTTTTATTTGGAAGCGAATTATTCGAGGACTACATTGGACATTTATCAGTAGCATCAATGGCTTCTTCAGAATTAGCTACTGAAATTGATAATCCTGACAAAATACATGATAAGCTGAAGGTAGTTACATGATTAATTAATTAGTCTTCCTAAAGTTGCTTACTAGTCACTGCATTGTGTTTACGGTTTAAAATTTTTGTATTGAAGGCTGTTCAAAAAGAAAGAGAAGAAAAACTAGCAAGATTGCTTAAAGATTTTCTTAATCAATATGTTCATGGCGACAAGATTGGATTCTTAAAGCGTGCTGAATCTGAAGCTAAACGCCTCTCTGATGCAGGTAATATATATCTCTGATGCAGGTAATATATATATATATACCTATATATATATATATATATAATACCCATTTATATATATATCGTTTATATATATATATATAACACCCAGCTAATACTCAACTTTTGCAGTATTGTTTGTCATCATTCAAGGAAGAAAGAAATTATTTTTCTGCCTTAAGTTCATAACCAACATTTGCAATCAAATATTTCTGTCAACAACTCAAACAGAAATGTTAATGTTTTTCTCAACAAGTAGTCAGAATCCTGAAACGCATAGCTTAACATTTTGTTTCCTGACTTAATTAAATAAACAGCTTTTGGAGCTGATATATTACAAACTATTGGCTATACATATTCAAGACAAGCGGCACAAGAGCTTGGAAAGAAAGCAATTTATCTTGGAATGCCATTTTTGGCTGAATGGGTACGCAACAAGGGCCATTTCTGGAAATCACAGATCACAGCAGCAAAAGGTTCAGGCATAGAATTACTGTTATTTTTAATATACAATAACAGAATGTAATATAATGTAATCAAAGGTATTTTTATTTCAAATGTTAAACTAAATGTATGTATATATATTATTTCTTAATTCAGGTGCTTTTCAGCTACTGCAACTTCAAGAAGATATCCGCAAGCAATTTAAAATGGATGGAAGTGGCCCTGAAAATGATGTTGAAGCGCATCTTCGATCGAACAAAGAAATATTGATGAGTTCATTATGGAAATTGAATGTAGTAGATATTGAAGTCACCCTTGTTCATGTTTGTCAAATGGTTGGTCTTCCTTTCTCCATTTATTCATTAAATTTATTTGTATTTATGTTCATGAAATTTAGCTAATCTTAAGGCTTGATATCTGTATGCAGGTTCTTCGGGAAAACAATGTTAAGAAAGATGAACTTAAAGCTCGTGCTTTGGCTTTGAAACTTCTTGGAAAAATCTTTCAGGTGCAATAAATTTAACAATTTTCATCTTTGTAGTTTCTTGATTTATAGAGTATGCAATTATTATCGTTCATCATGTATGCAATTATGGACGTCGTAATAGCAATTTCTAAATTTTGTATTCCTCAGCAAGGAAAACAAGCACGAAATGGAGCACCATCAAAAGGGAAAAGCGCTGCTGAAATTGATGGTGATGATGACAGTGATGGAAGCAGTTCTGATAGTAGTAGTGAAGAGGATTCACCAAGAGCAATACAATATCGAACTCCTCTATTTACTCAGGCATGTCCCTATACCATACTCATTCAGTTTAAAGCTAAATAATTGCTTCACAATATATACAAAACAGAATATAACATATAATTCAATAACACTATGTTTGATGATATTATTCATTGCTTAAATTTCAAGACAGTTTGATCTAGTGGTTAGAGTACTGTATCCTTATACTTGGTCTCAATATCAAGTTGTGGAACTAAAATATAGAGAGAGTTTTAAACATAATCGTTGTCGGGCCTAAAAAGGGAGTAATTTTCATTCAACCGTTAAATGGATGGTGGAAGGATTGATAAGTACCATAAAAAAAAAAAAAAGTTCTTAATTTTCAGTGTTTAATTTAGTTTGACAATGAAAAAATGGCAGGGTATTGGCAGACTGTTCAGGTGCCTGTGTAATCCAGCATTTGATGTTGATGATGAAGAGATTGTGTATAAAAGCAAATAATGCATAGTGTGTACATACTCGAGGTTTGATGATGTTCATACTATGAGATGGAGAAAAGCAAAGCTTTAAGCTTATTGTTCAATGGAGAAAGTTCAGTTATTATGAAACAGATTTTGGCGCAAGCTACATTCATTTTGTGTATTTTTGCATTTAATAATAAATCAGACCACTGCTATAAGTCCAAGTATCAAACTACTAGCCTGTTAAAAAAAAAATTACCTCTTCCGTCTCATATAGGTATGCTTGCTTCCCTTTGCATATACTTCTAGAAAGAATTACATTTAGTATTGAAATTTCAATCTACTCACCTGAACTATCTGTCATAGTTCAGTGTTCCCATGTCGGGTTGGTCAGGTAATATCGATTTTCAAACTACTGAACACCATAGGAACCAATAATTCGGAATCATTGGTCTCACACAGATGTGAACCAAATGTCATTATAAACTGATATTTTTATGTTCAATTTGGTTGGTGTGGAGATCTTTTTGGTATAGCCCAAAAGCAAATGATGAATTTTTGCTACCATTACATAAAAGAAAAGTTCAGTTTTCTCCCTTTTTCTGGCATCAAGCCGTTCCCTTCCGATCCCATTACATTGAACAACTAACTTGGCTTTCAAATGCTTTCAAATTAGCCGAAATGCTGCATAATTTAGAAAGCAAGAGCCAGCACAAGAAGTCTACAACTATACACACAGTGATTCCAACAACAAAAGAGCTGGCTGCTCGTTTCCAGCCAAAACAGTCCGGTTATTAACACAAGCATTTATGTACAGAGGCATACTCCTTTCAGTGAGCTTCCAAATGAACTCAAAATTTCATGCTCATTGCGCTGCTTAATGAGCATGATTGGGAATATAACTCAATGTGCGGTGTGCCTGGACTGCACAGGCACAATGCACAGATGTCAAGTTCAAACAGCCACTCATGACGAGGGAATGCCTCCCTGAGCAGGTGTGAAGTGCAGGAAATGAGTCGCATAGTGCCTGCACAGCTGGAGGAGTGAGTGCTGTGCACTGACTGATGTTGAGGCTCTTTAACCCTTCTTCATCACACCTCTCCTTCATTGATTTCCACATTGCAGGTTTGTTCTTCATTCGGCTATGAACCAAAGAATACATTGCTCTATCTGTTATGTTTCGACAGTAGTACAGGCCGAGTGATCTCAGATGGAGACATCTGTATGCCAAAGCAATCACGCTATCATCTACCAAAAAAAAAAAAAAAAAAAAAAAAAAAAACAAATCACGCTATCATCTCCAAAAAAAAAAAAAAAAAAAAAAAAAAAAAAAATACAAAAGTCAGTCCTCATCAGACAATGTCAAAAAGGTAAAATAACAATAATCTTCCACCTGAAACAGAAAATTACGGACTGATGATAGATCTTTACAAAGTAGAAATCATAAATAGATAATAAATTACCATGTTGACATATATTAAAACAAAGAAAGCCTAAGTGAAATTTGACCGTTTCAGGCAATGAATCCATTCATGAATTAATAAAATATGAAGATCAAGTTCAACGCTGACTGTTACAGACATGAAATACCTGTTATACAGACACAACCGCACAAATCAAGAGTTCTGAGATCAGGGCATCCATATGCTAGACTCATTACTCCAACATCACCCACATTCTCACACCATCCTAGATTCAGAGATTGCAATTGGCTGCAGTTTCGCCCAATGGCCTGTGAAAAATGCATACAAGCTTATAAATCACACATCCTTAAAAAAGAGGCATATTAACATAAGTTTGCAACTCATTTGAACCTGCAAAGCACGGTCAGTTGCAGCCTTTACACATCCACAAAGATTCAAAATTTTTAATTTTTGGCAAAATCCAGTCAGATATTCAAGAGCAGCATCACTAAATGACGTACAACCGCTAATGTTCAGTTTGGTCAGGTTAGGACAACCATGAGCTAATGCATAGAGAGAACGATCACTAAGCTTAAAGCTTTTGCTTAGGTCCAGGTCCTGAAGATCATGGCAGTAACTTGCAATAGCCTCGACAGAATTATCCTCAAGTTGTGGTTTGTCTTGGCGCAGGACCAGAGTTTCCAGTTTTGTGAATTTAGGAGCCAGTGACAGAACCAAGTTGTTCATGTTGTTTTTGCACCTGCAAAAAGGAATAAACTGGCATCATTAAGCTTATTGTTGAAATCTTTATGATTAAAGTAAATATTGTATTTCCTAATTTAGGTTTATTCCTAATTAGTGTAAAGATTGTGTTTCCTGGTTTAAGTTTATTCCTATACTTCCTATATTGGAACAATTTTTTGTATATATATAGTGGAGTAGAGGTTGAAAAATATAATACAATTGAAAGAAATAGAACATATTCTTTCCTTTAATGGTTGAAAAATATAAATACAATTGAAAAAAATAGTAATCATGATTCTTTCCTTAATTTCTATTGGAACAATTTTTTGTATATATATAGTGGAGTAGAGGTTGAAAAATATAATACAATTGAAAGAAATAGAACATATTCTTTCCTTTAATTTCTACACTCATATTCAAGGAACTAGTCATCAGAAAAAATGCTTGGGAGAAATCATTTCCCCTAATATTCCTCACCCCAAAAAGAAAGAAAAAGCAACTGATTTACATTGAGGGTAACTTGTATCCCAAGACGATTTAATAAAAAATATAAAAAGGATTAACCAAAAAAATTAAGCCTTTTAACAACACTTTTCCATCTTCTTCCTCCTCTATTTATTTAAGTTCAAGGGAGATAGATGCAAGGATTTGAACCTCCTACTACTACATAAAGGGAAGGTATCAAGCTGCTGGGATACAACACCAGAAGAAAGACCTCATTATAACTAAAACCACATGAATACCATGGGACAAGCTTCTACAAAGTGCAAAGTTTAGATTTCAGATATACCTTGAGAATTCATGAAAACATCTAGCCTTAAAAGAGCTCAACTAACTTCCTATCTGTTTATACAGACTCGATTCAATGATCAAAGTAATTCATCACATAATATTAAACTGGTCTTTGCACATGCATGTGCATATTACTTGTTATCATTTATAATGAAGCCCCTGTGTTTCTACTAAAGATTCATGCCAATGAACATCATCTCAGACTCCAGAACCATTGATTTGTTATTGGTCATACAGACTCCAAACATCTCAATGAATGACTGAAGCAGTCAAGGTCAAATCACATGACTGGCCTCATCTTTTGTGTTCAAAACAAGTGTAGTTTCACATAACTCTATATGCTCTCTCTCGCTAAAGGATTATCATCACTTCTTTGAATGCCAGAGGACTATAGAATCTCCATAACATAAATCCAAAAGGGAACAAAAGGGAATTGGCGTTGAACTGAGTATTAAGGCAGGCATCAACGATACGGGAATAAAAGGGAAGATTGAATTACAATATAGCATTGGACTAAAGAACCTAATGATACTTGACAAAATAAAATCCAGATCCATCAACAACCACTCAAATTCTAGAAATACCAGGAAAAACAAATTCTGGGAATCTAAGACAGTTCATAAAGAACTGCAGACCATCAAATGCTATAGATTTCACTTCCTCCATTCTCTTAACCCCTCATCAGGTACCTGGATGAGTCCATGAATAAACTAATATTCAAAAATAAAACAAGCATAACTTACAAAGCACGTATGATATTCATACCAACAAAAAAACCATTAAGAAAAAAAAATACTTTACAAATAACGAAAACAAATACAAAATTCCCAATTCAATAACATAAAAACCAAAACATTAAGAGAGAAAGAGGCGTCAATACCAAGAGAGACAGAGATGGGTGAGGCCCAAGCAGATAGCATCCCTCCAACCACTACAAACCCCAGATGCCATAATTATGGTCCGATCATCAACAAGAGAAACTATCCGCAGCAAAAGTTCCATAGGAATATCTTTCCACTCAGTGATAACAATTCCTTCCATTTTAACTCCTCCCTGACTAATACCACTATCAATCCCACTATTTCCACTACCAACCGTCATCAACCTCTCAAAGCACTGGTTCAAGTCCTCACTCCTCAGTTTTGCTTCTCCCACCATTTTCATAATCAACCACACCACCGCTTTAACCGCTATTTCTGGGAATTGTTAAAAGAGAGTTTCTTGTTTCTGGCACCAAATAAATAAAAAGTTAGGCAGCTAAGCCCACACAAATTTCAACAAGACATTGAATTTCGCAAAAAGCAACAAATAACTAGGAAAAGGGAATAACAATACAGACCCATTTGGCAAAAACACCATAACAAGCAAAGTTACTATCTTCAGATGTTTTTAACCGAGAGACCAATAATCACAAACGATACTCATTAAAAAGTATAATACAAAAAAAGAAACCAAAAAACAGAAAGAAACAAACAAAAAAAAAAGGAAACAAATAACCTATCATTTGTCAGTACAAAACCAAAAACAGAATCAAAATACCATTTCATCAAACTGAAGTGAATAACAGAAACGATCAATTAAAAGAAAAAAAAAGGAACTCAAAAAAATTAATCAATTAATTCTCTTCAAATATACTTAGAGATTTCTGTATAATTGAAGAGCAGAAACCGACAAACCATATTGGACCTATGCTTGTTTATCATTACCTGTGCGAAAAACCGGAGTGCTGAAAGTATCCTCTGAGAGAGAGGGGTAGGATGCGTTTATGAAGAAAACAAAACGGAGTTTTGGAAAGGGAGGGGAGGGAGAAGCGTAAGGGGAAGAAAGTTAGAGACGCGTGTGATGACACGTATTGATGTGGCCGAAACAGAGTAGGGCCCACGTAAAGTGGTCTGGTTTTTTTTTTTTTTTTCTGCCAGAGATACAACAAGATTATGTATTTCAATGCTCAATGCTGTAATTTAATCAAACCAAACCATTTTCTCAAAAAAAAAAAAAAAAAAAAAATCAAAACCAAAACCATTTTTCTCAAAAAAAAAAAAAAAAAAAAAAAAAAAAAAAAAAAAAAAACTAACCATATATAAAGCAGAAATGATCATACTGATAGAGGATCGTGTCTGACGGAGCAGAAAATAAAAAGTAGGAGAAAAAATTTTTTTCAAAATTTAAAAGATAAAATTAAAGTTTATTATCTTATAAATAAAATTAAAAATTTTTTATTATTCACGAGATAAATTTTTTTAAAAAAATTATATTAAGGGCGGGATCATCCCTAATCCCTCTGTATTTGATTGCTTTCAACAATTAAAATATTAATTAAAATGATGATAATAGAGTAGTAACTTGCAGCTCACAAGTCATAAGCGATTGGGAAAAATAGAAGACGCAACATAAAGCAAGCATGAGAAAAAGCAAAGTGAATAAAGTGAGATTCAAAAAGAAAAGAAAAGAATTGCAATTTTTTTGAATAATATTTTTATGGTGTGTGTAGAAAGTTCTACTGTCTAAAACCGAAACCGCACCCGAAAAGCAACCGCAAAATGCGCCCTCCAAAAGCAGAATGGAATCTGATTATCGTAGGTTTATTATTATTAAAAATTAAAAATAAATTTAGATATTGACTGACCTAATAAGTTAAAAAAAAAAAAAGAAAAAGAAACCTATTTCCACTGTTAATCAATTAATGTATTTATACTATTTCCACTGTTAATCAATTCACCTAAACACACTAGCTTACTGGTTTTGCTATCATATATTATGATTTAAGGGTTTTGTTTTTCCGTCCAAATCAGAAAATGGAGACGTTTAAATCAAGCAAGCATCATAAACAACAGCAAAATCTCCTTCCTGTCTTGTCCCTCCTTGCACAAGACATTAGTGAACTAGCTTTTAGCGAGAAGGCAATGTTCAGTCCAACATTTAAGAAATGGCACCCTCTTGCAGCAGAAGTAGCAGTAGCCAAACCAGGTTGGATTGATTGATTTATTAATGGTGGAGAGAGAGAGAGAGAGAGAGAGAGAGAGAGAGAGAGAGAGAGAAGAAGAAGTTGAGAAAGGAAAAGGCTAGGTATATGGAAGTAATTAAAACGGTTCCTTTTAAGTCCTTAGTTAACTTAACTAAAGTTATTAAGATGCTAATATATTTAAATTTTAAAATTAAAATATTCGGGTACAAAAGTTATTTTAAAATAAATATATAATAAGTTTAAAAATTAAGAGTATTTTTATAGATTAGACCAATAAATATTTGTGGATATCAATAAAAATACAAATGATCATTTGTTGATATAATAATTAATTTATTGTAAAATTGAGAAATAATAAAATATCATCAAATATAGTTCAGCCTATATCTAAGTAGAAAATTGGTGTCGATGCAATTAATTTGTTGCAAACTCAGAGATTCAAATACAAACAGTTTTACATGTAGAAATTAAATCATTATCAATAAAAATATTGTTATATTTTGTGTCTCTAAATTAATTCTCCTCAGAGAGTGTTATTCTTTTTTTTTATATATAACTTTCAAGAATTAATTCTCTGGTATGTTATGATTCCCTTGTTGATGTCAGAGTCATACTGAAATATATATATATATATATATATATAAACCACCCACTAAAGATACACCACATTAATTTATTTTGATTATATAATTTTATTCATTTATTTTATAAATGGAAAATATTAAAAAAATATATTTTAAATATTTTTTTTAAAAATTATTCATTATTTAAAAATGGAAAAATATTAAAAAAATATATTTTAAAATATTTTTTTAATTTAGATTTGAAATTAAATTATTCTAATTTGATTTAATTTAAAATCAGGGTCTAGTTACTCCAAAATTGACTCGATCACTAATTCAAAGTAAATTTCCATTTAAATATTTTTTTTAAATTTAGATTTGAAATTAAATTAATTCTAATTTGATTTAATTTAAAATCAGGGTCTAGTTACTCAAAATTGACTCGAATCACTAATTCAAAAGTAATTTCCAGTCAGTTTGAACTTAAACTTTTAAAGAAAATGAAATTAAAATTTATTTGTGAGTCAATGGATGATTACTGATCTTGAAATGAACAATTATAATTCAATTCTAAATAAATTTTATCGAATCAATTATGACACAAATTTTGGAACACCACAAATTTTAAACCCTAGATATAGATATGACACAACAAGTGATTGATTTGATGCGATTTAAAATGCAGTTAAGGGGCCAAAATCATTAGTTGGGTTCAAAATCGAAGTAGCAGAATTCATCTAAACAACGCAATTCGACGTATACAAAACATCCTTATCTTCTGTGAACTGTGAAGCAAGCTTCCAAGCGAACCAAAAACGCATCAGTGGTGGGTCCCAAAGTCCATGATATTGACATTTGGTCATTATTGCTTTCCTTGGATGACTGTCGTTTTGCTGCATCTTTAATTTCTATTTTCTATAAAATTAAGATTTTTAGTGAGTTATATCACTTAAAAGTTAGGGTTTGCTTCTCCAAGTCCGCTTCATATCTCATCCAATCAGAGCATTTTTTTTATCATATACTATAAAAAAAAATAAAATAGAAATAATTTTTAAAAAATTCATATTTTTATTGATTTGGTTCATAGATAATTATAATTGTAGTCAATCGTAGTCTGATTAATTTTTTGATCACAAATATGGAGATTAGAAGGTCTAAAATTCAAGTTTTCTACAATTTAATAAGGGAAGGGTATCATATGATGTTGTTGGATTTTTTTTTTTGTTTTTTATAATATAATCTGACATATAATCTCTCTTTAAGTCATGGATGCGTAAAGATTTTTTATCCATCTCAGAGATTGTGTTCTTTTAAAAAATTAAACTTGTATTTTTATTTTTATAGAGATCGAGGTCGTTATCATTTTAATCAATATCTTGTTGGTAGTTGTTGAACTTTTCAATAAATAAAAAATTATAAAATTAATTAAAAATATAATTTATATAACAGAAAATAATTCAACCTTTTTGTTGCTAGTTGGTGTTTATTTTTTATCTTATCACATATCTTTATGGCAATATTATCTTCTTCCACCGAGGGAACAAATTTTCCATCTTGAGTGACCCAATGAACACTTTCGATCGAAGCCCTGAGCACTACTACTTGCTTTGAATTGGGCACGATTACTCGTCTATGTACATTCTATTCATCCATGAAAAGACAACATGATTGATTTCTTATGAACATATATAGATATATTCTCATGAGTGAAAAATATTGATGGGAGTTTGATTAAATTAATTAAAGAGGCTTTTAATTATTATTAGTGAGCAACGTATTCTATGACTTTCGGTGGCTGTGTTGTTGTAGGCAAGAGGGCCTCAATGTCCCATATGGTTGTCATTTTCACTTTCTTGTTCATCCATCATACAAATGTGAAAGTGATAATAATGGAAGAAATACAAGACTACCAACCATCGTGGACTGCTCAAAGAGATTCATTCTATTTCGTTGATAAGTTTAATGAGTTTGACATTGATTTCGTTTCACAAATGAGCTCAACTTAGCTTTGAAATGAGATTTATGAGTATGTTAACACAAACAAATCCAACATTGAATAAGCACAAAGGAAAAATTCATTTTTTTTTTTTTTTTTAAGTGTGGATGTTCCTTAAATAAGTAAGAGGCCTTTTGTATAGAGAATTAACTATCTACTCGAAAATAAAATTGTGAGGGAAAATGACCCGTTAAGTTCAAGATTTTCGAAGTGAACAATATTTCTACTCGTAAAGTGATAACCTGTCAAGGCTCCCAAAATTTAATAATATCGTGCAAATTAATATACTAATGATGATTTTATTGGTCTTCCAAAAACCAGAAACTGCAGAAAAATGTAGACCAAAAAGACGCAGCTGCCTTGTTTCCAGCGACACCACCCTAGTCTTGCCGGTTGGACCTTCTCTCCCTCTCTTCTCACTGCCACTTTCTCGCCCTCTCTTCTCGCTGCTGTCTTTGGCTGGCGTAGAAATCGCAGAGAGCTGCAAATCTGCTCTGTCGGGACTCCATTTCTTCTCCCTTTTCCGGTGACTGCAGCTTGTTGCCTTGGTAGAGTGTTATTTCTTAGTTACTTGAAATTGTTTGTTGGCAAGTCTAGAAGATTTTCGGTTTTGTATGGCATGTCTAGCTAGTTGGCAAGTGTTGGGTCTTGCTAATTGGCAAGTGTTGGTCTTGTTCTCTGTTAACAAGTTTTGGCTTCCTATTAAGATTACACTTGAAGATTTTTGAAATTGCTGCTGTTGCTGTGTGTTGATGACTAGAGTTTGAGTTTGGAAAGTGGTAAATAAACATGCGTACTTTTAGCTTGCCCTCTACATGTTTGATAAAAGTCCTAGAAGAAAATACACTCTCCTACCTATGACGTTTCTTTGCTGGAACTGCCGAGGGATGGGCAACCCTCGGGCAGTGAGTGCTCTAAAGGATCTTATACGTACCAAGAAGCCCATGTTTTGCTTCCTTATGGAGACAAAGGTAGCTTCATCTTATGTTAAAAGGTTAGGTTTGCAGTGTGGCTTTTCCTCTTCTTTTTCTGTTGATTGCCATGGTCGAAGTGGTGGTCTAGCAATTTTTTGGAACAATAGTTTGCATGTTGATTTCTATTCCTATTCTTCAAATCATATTGATATGCAAATAACACACGGAATACATACATGGCGGATGACGTGTGTGTATGGCTTCCCTGAACCTAATAGGAAGCCGGATACGTGGACTCTCCTTAAAACTCTAGCTGGTCAGCACAACCTTCCTTGGCTTTTAATGGGTGATTTTAATAATCTACTTTCTGACGATGAGAGGATAGAGGGTAACCCTTACGAATTATGTAATCTTGAGGGGTTTCGAGAAGCGCTAGAGGTGTGTCGGGTTTTTGATCTCGGTATGGTAGGGTACCCATTTACATGGCGACATGGTAAGGGACGGAACAAAATTGAGGAGAGACTAGACCGAATGATGGCCTCAGATGAGTGGTCTGGAATTTTCCCAAATGCTTCAGTTCATAACTTAATTAGCGGCACATCAGACCATTCTCCATTACTGCTTTTGTTGGGTACAGATCAAAGGACTAAACGTCAAGTTAGCTTCAGGTTTGAGAATGCATGGCTTGGAGAGGCTAATCTTGATGAAACTATTATTCATACTTGGGCCCAAGGAGCCCAAGGTGATGTGATGAGTAAACTGAATGCATGCAGAGATGGGTTGCAAATTTGGGGACGTGATATACGTAACAAGTTCCTTAAAGACATTAAATTGTTTAAGACCCGGCTGAACGGTCTTCGAGCCCACCAGAACGGTGATAGTTCAGAGGAGTATTTACTAGTCCAAAAGCAGCTCGGTGATTTGCTTCTTAAAGAAGAGCAGTATTGGAAACAGAGATCAAAAATCTTCTGTCTTGCTTATGGAGACAAAAATACCAGGTATTTTCACTCCTCAGCTTCCTCATGTAAAAAATTAAATTTCATCACAGGTATCCGTGATTCAAATGGTGTTTGGAAGGAAGATCCGAGGGATATGTATAATGTGTTTCTAGACTATTTCACTAATCTATTTACAGCCACTCCTGCTCAGTTTAATTCTATTCTTGCACATGTCAATTCTCGAGTCTCTGAGTCTGATAATGACACCCTTATGGCCCCTTTTCTTGATGAGGAGTTTCGTATGGCGACCTTTCAAATGGACCCGGATACAAGTCCTGGCCCTGACGGGTTTAACCCATGCTTCTTTCAAAATTTTTGGTCAATCGTGGGTTCAGATGTTATTACCAGCTGTAAACAGTGGATTGCGAATGACTCTTTTCCTGAATTGTTGAATGAGACTAAGATGTTATTACCAGCTGTAATAAACAGTGGATTGCGAATGAACTCTTTTCTCTTTTCCTGAATTGTTGAATGAGACTAACATTGTCCTAATCTCAAAACTTGATAATCCTGAGTTTGTGAAAGATCTATGGCCAATTTCTTTATGTAATGTCTTGTATAAGATTGTGGCAAAGGTCTTAGCTAATCGGCTGAAGCATGTCTTAGGAAAAATTATCTCCCCATCTCAATCAGCTTTTGTTCTTGGGAGGCTAATTACGGACAATGTCATTCTTGCTTTTGAAACAATACATTCTATGAAAAGTCGGGGGAGGAGTCAAGAACAGACAATGGCCCTGAAGATTGATATCAGTAAAGCTTATGACCGTGTTGACTGGTCTTATCTAATCTAGAAAACGCTATAATGAAAGACTGGTTTCTGTTGCCGATTATATCAGTTGATTTGAATGCTGTGTTACGTCGATCAGGTACCCATGTGCTTGTTAATGGTCAAAACTGTTGGTTCCCCTATTTATTCATCCTCTGTGGGTTTGTTTTGAAACAATACATTCTATGAAAAGTCGGGGGAGGAGTCAAGAACAGACAATGGCCCTGAAGATTGATATCAGTAAAGCTTATGACCGTGTTGACTGGTCTTATCTAGAAGCTATAATGATAAGACTTGGTTTCTGTGCCGAGTTTATTCAGTTGATTTTGATGTGTGTTACGTCGATCAGGTACCATGTGCTTGTTAATGGTCAAACTGTTGGTCCTATTATTCCATCTCGTGGGTTGAGACAAGGCTGCCCTTTATCTCCATACTTGTTTCTTCTGTGCTCTGAGGGACTTTCAGCTTTATTTATGCATGCGGAGGCTATGGGGTCAATTCATGGGGGTCGAATTTGTAGAGCTGCCCCGAGGCTGTCTCACCTTTTATTTGCTGATGATAGTCTTTTTTTTCTTTAAAGCTAAGGCAGACGAAGCTACACGGTTGCAAATCTCCTAAGACAGTATGAAGCAACATCAGGACAGGGTGTGAATTTGCAGAAATCAGGGGTTTTTTTCAGCTCTAATACGGGTGACTTGGTTAAAGAGCATATTATCAACATCTTGTAGGTCTCTCAACCTTTAAATCATGGCTGATATCTAGGACTACCTTCCTTAGTAGGACGTAACAAGAAGGCAGTCTTTTCTTTTCTTCGTGATAGACTGAGAAAGGCCATTTTTCGATGGAGTCACAGACTTCTTTCCAGGGCGGGCAAGGAAGTAATGATTAAAACAGTAGCTCAGGCGATTCCATCCTACTGCATGAGTACTTTCCTTCTTCCTTCCTCCTCATGTGAAGAATTGCAACGAATTATGAACACCTTTTGGTGGGGTATACAGGGCTCAAATTGTAAAGGAATTCCTTGGCTATGTTGGGATCACATATGTGTTGACAAGGTTATGGGAGGCCTTGGCTTCAGACACTTATACGCTTTTAATATTAACCTAGTTAGTAAACAAATTTGGCGACTTGTCACCGAGCCAAATACTCTTCTATGTTCAGTTCTCAGAGCAAAATATTTTCCCAGGGGGAATGTATTGGATGCGCCCTTAGGGCATAATCCTAGCCTTATATGGAGGAGCATGGTCTCGGCTAAGTCATTTCTAAGAAGAGGGTATATGTGGAGAATTGGTAACGGTTCAAACGTCAATATCTGGCATGAGCCGTGGCTACCAAACGATAATGATTTTTATCCGCATAGCCCAGTTGTTCCTGGTTTTGAGAATACGCAGTTGGAGACCTCAGGATGCTTAAAGGTTGGAATGTGGATTTCATAGCTAGACTGTTCAGTTCAGAGGAGGTATCTCAGGTCAATTCCATCCCTTTTACTCGATCTACCCATGCAGATAAACTAATATGGAACTTCTCTAGTTCAGGTAAATACATTGTTAAATCAGGATACAAACTTGTCTTGCCTCATTTTGTGGTGCCTGAAGTAAACATAACTTCGCCAGTTTGGGTTAAATTATGGCAATTAGCAGCCCCACCAAAGGTTAAGCACTGGTTATGGAGGGCATGTCGTAATATTTTGCCAACAAAATTTGTACTTTTTGGCAAAAGAATCACAGAGGATGACCATTACCCATTTTGCGATGAAATAGAGACAATAATGCACATGCTATTCTTTTGTGAGAAAGCTCGACTGTGTTGGACTCTAGCCCGGATTCCGTTGGATGGATCTGCCATTGGGTTTATTGATCTATTATTGGGGTTTATTGATCAGCGCAGTGATGAGCACTGCTTGTTATTTGTTGTGTTGTGCTACTTTATCTGGTTTGATAGAAATCGTCGGGTTTGGCAGCAAACTAATGTTGATCCGTACAACATTGTCATGGCAGCCACTAGCTTTCTTAGAGAATGGAAGAATGCGCAGATTAGTCGAAGCACTTCCTCTTCTCCGTCGGCTTCAGTTCTGACATGGGTTCCCCCTCCGACTGGAGCTGTAAAGTGCAACTTTGATGCAGCTGTTCATACGACTGCGGGTCGATCATCATATGCTGGCCTTGTTCGGAGTGAAGCTGGGCAGTTTTTGGTAGCTTGCACAGGTCATTTTGCCGAGGTGCTAAAAACACACATCGCAGAGGCCATTGGTCTGAGGGAAGTATTGTCTTGGTTGCTCACGAGATCATTTGGTAGGGTTCTACTGGAAACAGATTGCTTGCGACTGTTTCAAGCTGTCACGGCTGGTTTTGAACCTTTTTCAGATTGGGCACCAGTGTTAGAAGAGATTAAACAATTGCTTTCTCAAAATCCATCTTATGAATTGATTTGGGCTAGGAGGCAAGTTAATAAGCCTGCACATGCTCTTGCTCGTGTGGCCTGTTTACATCCTTGTTTCCATTCATGGGACATGATTTTCCACTGTATTGAAGATCTTATTGCTCTTGATTTATTATAATATTATGATCTCCTTTATTATCAAAAAAAATATACTAATGATGAATTTATAAACGAGTTTGAGATCAGCTTGAACTCGAACTTTGTAAATGAGGAATATTTTTTTTATTATAAATTGAGCACAAGTTAAACTTAAACTCAGGACTTGAAATTAATTTATTTATAAATTATATGGGCTAAACTTAAACTAAGCTTAGGTTCAAATGTATGATTAATGAGCCAGGCTCAAATTTAATAGACTCAGTTTAATTGGTTTACAATAAGAAAAGACTTAGAGAATAATATATTCTTATTGTACACATTAAAAACATTTAACCACAATAATATTGTTTGATTATTTCTTGTAGGCATGACCAATATTCGATTCAAATTACAAGGAAACTGAAATCGAATTAGTTAAAAATATATTCCAATTTTAGTTTCAAAACATAATTGAAACTGTATATTTACATTTTGGTTCCAGTTTTTAATATCGAAATCAATGGTTTTAATTTAAATCTGATGGTTCTAGTTTGAAACCGTGAAAAAAAATTTTCAAAAGAACTTTTATTTTTTTTGTTCTTATTAAAATTTTTTAAATAAATTTTAAGATTTTTATTAAATTGTTTTCGTCTTATCAAGCTATTTACTAGTATTATTTGTTTAAGCTACAAAATTAAAAAAATAATAAAATTTAAAATTTAAAAAAGATTATCTAATTTTTTATGTTATTCTACCTCTAAGTCCAAAATAAATCTTGTTAGTCTAAGATTTACTTATCTTTATATACATCACTTTCACTTTATATTTAGCTGGTATAGAATTTGGAAGTATTGTACCAGCTATTATGGGGAATTCTTCCATCCACTAGAAATCCTTTTGCCTAATGATTGGGTTCTACTCCTAAAATAATTGTTTTGCAATAATCAATTCAAAAACCAAAATTATAAATTAAAAACCGAAGCCAAAATTTGAACCAAAAACCAAAAAGTATTTTGGTTGATTCAATGTTCGGTTTTTTCCAAAGTACCATCAATCTCTAATAAACGAGAAAAAGAACATTATATATGTGTGATGTGTCCATTACACGTTATTGTGGCCCATTTGGTTTCATTGCGAAAAAGAAAAATGTTACCCAATATATAGTTTCTTTGGCGTGTTTCAATCTAAACCGTGAAAAAAGAATCAATTTGAGTTGATCTATTAAAAAGGTTCAGCTCTAATTGGCAGTGCTCCTCTGTGCTTGTTGACTTCCATTATACTCGAATGTAAAGAAACGTCCAGTCGTTTATCTTCCAGTTGTGACACTTGTTTTACACCCATCATCTTCTTCTTTTGCACATTTCCTGGTTCCTAGTCTAATCATGTATTCTTGGCCAGCATTTTATAGGTTATATTTGATAACAAATTTTTAAATAGTTTTTATCAAAATACTGATGCCAAATGTTTTTATAGTATTTTTATAATGTTCAGTAACATAGTATTTTATCTGAGTTCCAGATGTTGACAAAAAAAAAAAAAAAGTCCAAACTTCATTGACTTGCAAGCATTTATGCTTTACATAGAGCAAAGTATACAATTTCATGTCCAGCCCATATTTTATTATATCTATACAGTTCTAAGTTTCCATCACATATATATGGACATGGGTTCAAGCCAAGAACCTTTCCAACAAATTGCCGAAGAAGAAGCTTGTTTTTGCCCATCCTCTGGCTTCAGGTTCTCTTGCACTAACAGGAGTTTTCTTCACATCAAGCAACATGGTCTGTCCAATTTCTTTACGAAGAGCTTCAATAGTTTTCATGTCTACTGGATTCCCTGAAGAGTCTCTTACATAGAAAACATTCACTGCTTGCTCTCCTACTGTTGTTACTCCTGCTCTTGTGACCGACAATCCATTCTCACGTAGAACCCTTGTTACTTCTGACAACAATCCTACTCTGTCTTTTGCACAAAGCTCTAAACTAAGACCCTGAAATTATATACACAGAAACAGAAAAACAAATAGAGAAAATGTTAGGAATTGCGTCATAGCATAAAATAAAACATTCAGTTTGAATTTACTAATCATTTCCTTTTTTGGTAAGTGGGTTCCATTTCTGCATTTTTCATTTCACATTGCTGCCTATGTCAACTGATTTTCTGTATCTACAGGTTCTTGGTGTTTATATCAGTGTTCCTCCTTTGTCAGCTAAAATTTAATTTTTTATATGGCCATTAAGTTTTAGCAGTAAGAGGCTGCAGACAAGATTGGCATCAGCTACTATACTGATTTCATATATATATAAGCACAAAAAAATATTTATTTCGCTCACTTCGCATACTCTTCTTCGGATTGCAGCTTCAAGACATTTGATGACTCTTTCTTTTTCTCCTTCACTATCAAGTATGCAACCATCCATGTGACGGATATAATACTCCTGTAATGAAATGCCCAGTTAGATAATTCAACTAAATTCTAATGAAGCAGTTAGGTTTAGATGCAATTGATGAGGTTTATAAGATATAGCATCTGAAGGGAAATCTTATTTTCTTTGAATTCATAAAAAATCATTCAACTATATATGGAATTACAAATCAAACAAACTGACTGATATGCAGATTATGTGCTTTTTTAAACCTCTTAAATTAGGCTTCAACATAGACTCTTTTGAATGCTATCAAAGAAAGTGGAACCAAGTAATGTAATATCAGCAAGTCAAAGAAGGCTAAATAACTTTATTTTGCTTCTAGTTGTTATGTAAGGAGCAATTATCAATTTATCATATTCCTTTAGAAAAAATAAATATACCTGTAAAGCATAGGGCCCATCAGATGAAATTGAGGCATGAAAAACAACATATTGCATGTCTGTGAGAGTGCATACAATGTCAAAAAGCAATTTCGCTCGATCTTTGCAACGAACACTAACTACTGAGTATCCCTTGTCCCCGCAACGGTCAACTGTGATCTTCGGCTGGAAGGCAGGAGGATGATCCACCTCATTTGCTACTCCTCCACCTTCATAATCCCTATCTGCAAAAAACATTTGATGTAGCCTTCGGTCAATGTGGGTGAACCCCATGGAGAAGCTGGTACGAGCCACTTTCTCATCATCCTCACACCCGCGCAAAATGTTCTTAAGCTGCTCCTCCATAACAGATAATCTTGTAGGGTCATCAACAGCGCGACATGTAGTGTCATCATTGACATACACAACACATGCTATTCGCCTATTATGTGTCCAAACTTCAGCAGCAATCACATTGAAGTGGAGGTTGGCAAGGACAGCAGTAATCTCTGACAAGAGACCGGGACGATCCCTGCCAATAAGTTCAATGGCTGTGTGATCACCGACAGAGTGCACTCCTACCCGTTTACCTGGCCAAGTCTTCAATTCAGTTTTGTTGTACTCCTTTGGACCTAAAGCCTATTTGTAACAACAGTTGTATGAGAAATAGTTTTAAATAAATCATGAACATGCATATATATTGATATAATTGACACATGCATGCAAGTTTTGTAGTACTTTAGAGAAGTTAATGTATATTAGAGCATAATTTCCAATAATTAATGATGTTGGATTCTGAAGCAGCGGGGTGGCTAATATATTATCTCCCTAATCTAAAAACATTTATCAGCCTTTTTCAAGGACAAGAACATCCTATTTTGGATTAAAATTATAGAACATTAAGAAAACTAAGGGAAGAATATATTAGAAATGCATACCTTCTCTATGTAATCAATGGTTTTACTGTCTGTAATCTTCTTTCCTTGTTGGTCAGTGACATGAAATACTGTTCATGAAAAACATAAAATTACAGACTATTTACACAAATTATAGACAAAATATTATATTAGGCATTAAGAAAAGCAACATCCTTATTGTCTGAAAATCATCAAGGAACAAGGAAAGAACAAGAAAAGGATAATGAACATACTATCCATAAACCATCCTCCATCTGAAGATATATAAGCTTTGGTGATGATGAGGTCCATATCGGTTAGAATTTGCACGACTTCCAACAGAATTCCTGGTTTATTCATGCTGTCAACCTATATCCATCACATTTGCACATAAATATTGACTGAAAGCTTATTATATATATTATTGGTGAGAAAAGTATATACGCTAAACATGACAAATTTGATTTCTGATTAAACCCCATTCCTCTTATCTCTTTTTACTGCTTCAGTTTAGGAATTTAATAGAAACGCAATACCTCATTAACTCCGAATCTCATACAATATAGCATAGTAAAACTGAGTAATCAGATTGTATTTATTTTCATGGTGAACTGAAAACTTTTAAATGGGAATGGGTTTAATATCGTAACTCAAAGCTATGACTACTAAACCACTAACTGGATTACTAACCCAATGACAAGCACAAATTTTTTTAATAGCTCTGATGAAAAGCGTTACCTTTATTAGAGTAGAGTCATTGCAAGTTGTGTTATCAACTGATACCCTGCAATTAGAAAATATAGCAAAATAATTAAGGAGGGCAGAAAAAAAAAACCTTAATCAGCAATTAGCTAGTGTAATGTTTTTAGTTGGTAAATACCTTGGAGGATTGATTCTAGTACTCAGGTTCTCATATTCAGGATCAAAGTATGGCCAACAAACTTTAGCCATTAAAGTTGCAGATTTTCTCCAATCAAACAGCACTAGTGAACTGTGTCAAATGAGTTCATGAAATAACATGTTCGCTGGATATTATAAAGTTTAGAGCTTTGAAATAAATCTAAAGAAAATTAATTCACCAATTCATTAAATTATGAAATACCCTTTGAAGGACAACTATGGGAAATCAATGGCGTGTTGGTGATATAGCTAGCTAGGTGTCCAGGTGACTACCAGTATATAGCAGCCGTTTTTTCATAAACAATAAGCTTACATGGTCACGTTAAATACCTGCAAAAAAAAGCGGATGGTGATATCAATTGCAGCTGACGTAAAGAAAAACTAAAGCTCAGAAGTTTTAAGGTGCTTTTATCTTGGGTAACTGAGAAATCTACATGAAAATAATACGAGAATTTGTAAAGCTAATTAGGGTTTAGGGTCGTCTGTTCAACAACAATAATATGGATTTATATATTTGAACATAATTAATAAATTACTTATCTGAATTTAAAAACTAAAATTTTATCTGAATAAAGAAAACAGCTAATTTATAGACTGTATAAATTATTAAATGAAAAAATAAAATTACCCTTACAATTATAAAATGACATCACATCTCTACTATGGGAAAAAGAAAATCATAGTACATCTATTTATAATAATTAATAAATATAAAGATGTACAAAAGTATACCAACAAAAAATTGATATAATTTATATTTCTCAAAAAAAAAAAAAGAATTTAATAAATTTTTTTCTAAGTTAAATTTGTTTACATTCTCATAAACAAATTTCCTTGCTAATTTTACTATTTCTTTAGTATATTTTTTGTTTCATAATTAATATAAACCTCTTTCTTATTGCATATTTTTAATTCTTCCAATTTAATTTTATTACGTCACTGATTAATATAAACTAATGCCTAATTAATTTATTTTCAATTCTTTCTATTTAATTTCATTAAATTAAATATATAATAGTATGCATATATTCTCAATACGAAAGCAAGTATTTTCCTTTTGGAGAAAGGACTTATTAGATACATGTATTTTTTTTTTCTCGACTTATTGTGTTAATAAATATTCTCTCTATTATCATCATACCTACAAACTAACCATTTACTAATTATTAGAAGAAGTGTGTAGTTGGATGATGCTATTGTCGTAGCATTAGTTATTGCATTTAAATGCATTAAACGGCAAGAACTATTGCTTTCAAAGGAACCAAATATATATAACAAGTGGTCACACTCGTAATAATGCTCTTAACACAAGAATTCCCCAAACTAATGCGAAATTTCAATTCAGTTCAATAATGAATAAAAAGTAGGAGCATTTGCAAGTCTAATATAATGTAATTGCATCTTTGAGGTTATGTATATATCTAACTTTAATTTCCCTTTCAAATAATCTAGAATTGATAGGAATTAGAGTTTTAAATCTTCAAAAAGAATTGAAGAGACGGATTTATTGATTTTAAATTATTTATTTAATCAATAAAGTGTTGCTTGCAGCATCAAATAATCTTAATTTTCGTAAAGTTGGAAATACAAATTCGGTTCCAGAAACACAATTTATTAAAAGAGCTATTTAAATTATTTATTTAATCAATAAAGTGTTGCTTGGAGCATCAAATAATCTTAATTTTCGTAAAGTTAAAAATATAAATTCGGTTCAGAAACACAATTTATTGAAAGCGCTAAAAACATTTACGCTGCACGGCGTTTTCAAACTTGTTTGAAGTAGCTGATAGGTAGGTAAGACATTTGTAAATCTAAAATTACGCTCTACACCTACGCAAGTTGCAACAAAATCTTTAAACTGAATAAAGGTAATAAAGACTAGTAATAAAACAGACAAGCAGACCAAAAAAATCACCTTTGAAATGACAGAAAATAAAGAGAGTTTTGATTCCTTTTTGCTTTTAATTGACCCACCAATCAGTATCCCAATAGTGCCTATAAATACCCAAATCATAATTTCCATCCATCACCACCGTTAATTCCAATTTCCGTTTGACCTCAATGGCTCAATCATTATTACTTCCCTGACCCAAATCAGCTTTTGCTTTCTATCTCCTAATAAAAACAATAATGTCCCAACAGCTAACACAAAATTTACTGTCGTTTATCATTTCTTTCTTTGACACGACTAACAAACGACACTCTGATTTCAAGTTGTCCTTCATTGTCTGACTCTATTCCGTCAGCTAATTAAACACCTTTCAAGAGCGTTCAGATTATGAGAAATTCAACTTAGTTACGCAATAAGGATTAAGCAATCACAGATAAGCATATTTGAACTGTAAAAATGGATTCAGCCAAATATTGCAAATTTTTATATGGGAACTTACAAACGAGAGGCAGATTTGCAGAGAAAGCTAATATCGTGAGCTCAAAAGCGAGGAAATCGAAGGAACCTGACAATTTCACGTAAAAATTAGTATGTGAAAGAAAATAAACTCAAGAATTTGAAAGAAAGATTTGTAGAGAATTGAATTCAAGAAAGTAAATTGGAGTACTGAACAGAGAAAAAATGAAAAAAACAGAGCAAAAACAGAGAGAGAATAGAAAAAGGAGGAAATTTGATACTGACCCTTTAGAAAGTTTCCTCCCAAATCCCAACAGACAGAAAAGAAAGGGCGCTTAATCACATCGTTGAAAAAACCGAGAGCACTAGAAGAAGAGAGACTATAGATGTATATGAAAGAGAGAGGAGAGATTTATTGACAAAACGGAGAAAGTACTCTTGAAAGCGTCCTCTGTAATTGTATCTCTCTCTCCATCTATGCTTTCTACGTTGGAATAGCACTTTCTCACAAAGTGCTCTCTCTCTTTCTCTGTATGATGAAAAATTGAGTCCATACACTGGAAGATGGCGTGGTGTATTAAGAGGCAAAAAACCTTAAAAAACAAAAATATTAATTTTTTTATTCAGAAATGACGCGGCGACTAAACGTCTTGTTCTGACAATTTGGTGTTGGGCAAAATACTACTCCACTCTCACTTTACCCTCGTGAGATCACGCTCTAATTGCATGTGTGGTTTTAGGAATCAACAATATTCGCATTCTAATCAAAAAGGAACTGAACTGACTCATTTGAGTCGGTCTTTGAATGATTAGTTTGCGAATTTGGTTAGGTTACACAAAACGGTTTGATTTTCAATTTTGGTTTGGCCGCTATATATAACTAATTGAATTAATTTTTAAATTCAAAATAATTAATTTGATTTGATTTCTCCTTAATTTGTCAAATTGATGAAAATTTTTGTAGTTGAGAGAAGTCTAACTCCACTCATTACATTAACGAGAGGACCAATAAAATTTTTACATTGTACCATTTAAATTAATAAAAGAATCAAACCATATGAAATCATTAATTTTATGTTATTTAATTTTTAAATAGTTTGTTTCAATTTAATATTTGATAAATCACTTTTAAAATAATTTGATTTTATATTTATTTAATTAATTCAATAATTAATCCTCTATATATTTATAATTCAGCCATACTAAACTGCTTTATTGTGGATTAAGTTTGGAGTAACCATCAGATCGAAGTAAATTAAAATTAGAATCAAATAGATAGTTTATAACAAATAAAAATAAACATCGATGTTATGTTTCGAAGCGGAGGCGGTTACCTGCGAATTTTAAATTACTCATAATCGTATCCGTTTAAAATTTTACTACTTGTATCCGTTTTAAACCTGTTTAAATATCTATTTAAATAACCAAATTAGAATCCGTTTAAAATTTTAATATCCGTATCCGTCACAAACTCGTTTAAAGTACCCTTAAACGGGTAGGATATCCATTCATTTAAAATATCAAAACCAAACTTATTTAAAATACATTTTTTACTAATAAATGGATAGGCTATCCATGAATACCCATGCCAAAACTATTAATTATAGCGGGTAATGGGTAACGAGTACCCAGAGTCTTAATACCCGTATCCGTTACGGATAGTAATTTCACTATCTGTATCCATAGAAAACTCATTTATAACTATATGTACTCTTATTAAACAGAATCAGAGTAGAGCGGGTATCCTAAATTACTCGTCTCACTTATATCCCTAATTGATATCTTCGATTTTACTTTAGTTTTAATAAAAATGTAGAGTATTTGTTTTTATTAATAATTGAGATTGATGATCCAAGATAACTTGATCCGGTCGTTGGTGCATATTGGATTCCACATTTAATCTCGTAATCTAGTCATGGAATCATCATTTTGGAGAAAACTTTAATGTTATTGCTTTCTAATATGAAAAGGATCAATTATTTATCTAACCGTAACATGAATGATGGGATTTTACTATTATTGACTACCAAAAATAATTAAGATTGATGGATTACTTAATTGAGATTTGATTTTAAGGGTTACTTAATTAAGATATACTTTTTATAGATTGCTTAATTGAGATTTAATTGTTACTTAATTTCAATTTATGGATTACTTAATTGAGATTTACCTTTTCGTGTTAGCTTAAAGCTAGTTTCAAATGGAAACTGACGTAGCTTAAAAAATTAAGCTCATATCTTTTATCAGATCAGAATTGCAGGATGTTGATTCCTTTCGGTAGAAATAGAAAACAATATGAGTAAAAAAAATAAAACCGAGGTCCAAAATTGAAGGAATTCCAACAGAAACCTTAAAGAGAATATACAAGTCAAAGTTGATATCTGCCACAACTCACTAATTAAATTTTCTTTTTGTCAAGTGGTCTATTGATGTTTCTATTTATATGAATTGGAGAGTGAAAGAACTCAGGTTCAAATCATCTCGATCAAAAGAATTTTCATCATTTTAATGAGCAGATTAGAAAAATATTTCATATTGTATAGTTCATAATGTTCTTTTGGAGCCGTTGAATCTTCTAATAAAAGAAAAAAAAAAAAAAAAGTTTCCTCTCAGCAATGCAAAACCATAAGCCTGCAAGAAAGTAGAAACTAGAAACAGAACAGGGGTCACTAGAACGGGAAAAAACAAAGAGAATCAAGCAAGGTAAATTCTATTAATTAAAAAATGTTAATTAATTAATAAAACTATTTAATTTATTAATTTATATAGAGTATTAAATTCAACAAACATATATCTAATCAGCTTTTTTCTTTTTTTTTTTTTTGGAGAAAACCAGCTAAAAATTATTATAGTTGCTAATCTAATCAATTGAATATGAATTTATCTATTAAATATACTATAGATTAACTAAAAAAGTAAGTTCCTCGTACATGAGTATAATGAACTGTACGTTTGTATATAACATCTCAATTTGGCATATGTATAAATATGACATCTCAACAAATTCATTAAATACTTGTTTATAATAGAAAAATTAATTAGGTATGTATACTTTCTTTTTTTGGAAAGAAAACCAGCTAAAAATTATTATAGTTGCTAAATCGTAATCATTGGAATATGAAATTTATCTATTAAATAGTAACTATAGATTAACTAAAAAAGTAAGTTCCTCGTACAATGAGTATAATGAACTGTAACGTTTGTATATAACATCTCAATTGGCATATGTAATAAATATGACTAATCTCAACAAATTCAATTAAATACTGTTTATAATTCAGAAAAATTAAATTAGGTATGTAATACTTTTTATATAATATTATATTATAATATATATATAATATATATATATATATATATATATATATATATATTACAACGAGCTGGAATTTTTTTCAAAAAAAAGGATGAGAATTTCGAAGAGTGAGATTGGTCCCTTTGTATTTTGAAGGATGCGCATCTTTGTCAGCCCATTTAAAGTTGTCACTTTTTTCATTTGTCTCCTTGACAAATTGGTGCGACTGCTTTTTGCTAAAAGATGACATTCTATCGTCTTTCATCAAGGCAATCTTGAACTCTTTTTCTCTCTTGTCCTCTCGCCATTGTATTTTAGAATTTTTGAAAGAAAAATATCCATGTATGTACAAAATACAAAAAATTTCAAAAATAATGAATTTTTTTTAGAATTAAATAAATCATATTATTTTAGCGATTAGTAAATTATAGAATTAAGAGAAAATAAGCGGCTCTTAAAATTACTAAATTTAGTAATTGTAGATGTGTCATCTTTTGGGGAAAAAATTACGGAATTTTTTTTACATGTATGCATTAGTAGTTTCCTAAATACAAGCACAGAAGGTATAAATGCTTAGTAAGGAGTCTTTTAGTTTATGTAAATATCATTATACAGTTTAATATTCTTTTTTATTTTGATTTTTTTTATCATGCCCTTTTTATACACGAAATATAATTATAGATATAATATATAGAGACATTAAAGGAGTAATCAAAAAAAATATAATATATTATTTTATTATTTATTTATATAATTGGTTTTGAAAAGGTTTTCCTTTTTTTACCTTTTCTAATCTTTTTTTTTTTTTGTATTAAGAGGAGGGTTCAAAAATTTAGGGCTATTGGCTAAGGAATCTTTTTTTTTTTTTGGGTATTAAGAGAGGTTCAAATTTAGGCTATTGCTAAGTTGTACGTCCACTTATCATTAGACATAGTCTTATGTCTGTAAATTTGTAATCTTAATTAATTTTCTATTTGTCTAATATATTTTGGAGTTTTTTTAATAGTAAACATTAGTGATAAAATAACGTTTAATAAGTTAACTCTCATTAAATTATACTACCTTTCTATTTTTTTTATTTTCATTTATTGTACTTTAATGATCAAAGAAGTTATCAAAGCCTTATCGGAGACGAGACTTCTTAGTACTAAATAATTCAATATGATTTGCTTTTCTCTTTATGCATTTTTATTTTTTTTTCATTTGCAGTCAATTAAGATTTATATTTTACGATGAAATTGATTGATTTGCGGGTTATTGATAATAAAGTTACATTAGATTTGTTCTTAAGTATATATATCTTATTTTTGTTCTTCTTATTCCTAATATATTGATAATTACGATTTAATTTATTGTTCTTACTTCATCAATATTATAAATATTATAGGATGTTTACCTGTGGTTGATCCTTTTTGAGATTGTTGTAGATGTAGAGGTTCATATTAAAATTATTGTACTGTAGAGATTTTTGATTGTTTGTCATATCTTAGAGTGTTGAAAACTATGTGATGTGTCAAACAAAGTACATCTCGTGATTTATTTATTTGTCGTATACGTATTTTATCCTTACCTTTATAGGAAATTAAACCATGACCATAGACATCGGTAAAGGAATCACCGCGTTTATTTTTCGGTCTTTTTCTTGTTTATTATTTGAATGTTTGAGTTTGATTTTCTTATTTATTGTTTGAATATTTTAATTTATGAAAATTATAATCGCACTCCTGTATATTTTTACAAGTGAACTACTTTACCTTTATTTTTTTCAAAAATAGACTGTTATATCATCGAATTTTGAATTCGTTAAACTAAAATAACCTTGCATAAGGTTTTAGCAATTTTATACGTTATATGCTTGTGAAATGACACAATTGACCTTAATTTCATCCCTTACCATATCTATCTTCTTTTCTGTTCCCCAAGCAACCCTAATCCTTGAAAGCAAAAATATGAATATACTCCATTGGGCTTTTGGTGTAATGATTTATTATAACCCGTGTTTCTTTGATTTTGGATTGAATTTGGGAGAGAAGATATGAAAGATCCAATCATCCAAACAATGGCCAATTGTTGAAAAAATTGTGCCTAGATTATGACGAAATTGATAATGCACAAACATAGATTTGGGTGTCATAAACTATGTAATATTTCTCGAACCTTAATTTTAAATCCTCAACTGCTCAAATGGTGTTGATGGTGTTTGTTTGCGGCAACAGTGTTTGAGAACAACAATCACCTTCCGATTTCTATTGCTAAAGTAAATTTTCCTCATAATAGTACAGATTTTTCAAAATCAGAAGATTCA